TGCTTACGTATGGAGACTTGGTACATAGAGAATTTATCTGGAGCATCTTGTCCCCCTACGATTCGCGTATCTCCACCAAATACATCAGACTCGGCTGTGAATAAATTAGCTTTAATTAGCCAGCCTCAATGCTATAATCTTTATATATATAATTCTTCTGTGAGTGTGTATGTCACTGAACTTCTCTCAAACGACTGGACCGATTTTGATGAAATTTTTTGTGTGTGTTCAAGGGGATCTGGGAATGGTTTAGATTCACAAATCAGCGCGGCAGATGGCACTGCAGTCGGTACTTTCATACTTTGCTTAATATCCTAATCGCTTTAAATATCATGCAGGACAACGTCTGTGGGGTCCACTAGTCTACTATATAAAAATAAGTCGGGTTTTCCTTCCTGACGCTATAACTGCAGAACGCACGAACTGATTTCCACGGTTTTTGGAAAGGTCTCGGGCTCCGTGAGGTTTATAGCAAAGAAAATTCAGGAAAAATTTCAACAGAAAAGCGGGATCACCAAACGAAATGTTACATAAAACGAAGCCATCTGGTGGCGAAACGGAGTTCGCCGAGTTTGCTAGTTATTTATAAAAAACATTCTCATGTAAATAGGCGCCTGCCTTAGTGATGAATGACGGGTCAAAATAGACCAAGACTATTCCAAGACTTGGAATAGCACAGTGGGAAGAAAAATGACAGGACGCCCATTAGTAAATTGGGAAGATGGAATAAAAGGGATAGCGACGAAGGTTTGGAAAATGGTGATGAGGGTAAGAGACACTTCCACTTGTCTCTTTGAAGGAGGCTTTCACTCCGTCGGAGCTAGTCTGTTAATGTTAAACATAAAGGCCTGTATTCACTTTGATTAGTGATAAGTGCAAGTGATTAGTTGGCTGCGTTGTAAAGTTTTTTGATTAGAAGTGTGTTCTATTTTTTTACACGATTTATATTAGCTTCACCTGTTTGTATGTATGTATGTATGTATGCATGTAACCGACTCCTTAGGACTCGACTTTGACCCACTTTTAACGGACAAATTTAATTCAAACTTTGCGCACCTGTCAAAGATCGATGACAATGCAATAATCCGAAAAAAAATGAAAAATATAAAAAAATTAACTAAAAAATAAAAAATAAATAATAGTTAAAAAAAACTAGAACACAAAATAATTCCTAATTTAGGCTGAAAATGGTAATGAACAAAAAATACTGGTATTATTGTAAAAAAGTTAATTAAAATTATTTATTGCGAGTGAACTGCGAGTAGTGACGCATGCGCCCTCCCTCCCCCCTCACTCGCAGCGTGCCTGCCAAACTATATGACAACCGAATTTACTTAACAGAGCCACTAAACAATAATTGGACACTACTTGCACTACACACCTGCACTAATCAATGTCAATTACTAATCACTTGCACTCGCACTTACAGATTACATACATTCTTATGTCAAAGTGTATGTAACCAAACTCTTCGAGGATTTAAATCACGGAGCGAATTCTACGCGATCGAACAAGTAATGAAAACATCGAGTGATGTATAAGAGCCTTGGAGAAGAATTGATCTCTGGCCTCTTGCGGACAAATAAACACGTCAATACTTACCCAAAAGTCCCTGCCAAAGTAGTAGCACCAAACCCAGTTGTACGATCATTATTCTAATTAGGTATACTTTTTACGCCTATTTATAAGGTGTAATAAAACAATGTTTCGAAAGGAAAATAAGAAAATTAATTATAAAACTAATTAACTTTTCACTTGTATAATTAATTATTATATTGTCTTTCGCATGGAAATGTAAAAAATAGAATTTCAGATACAATTTATTATCAGTATTGTTTTTTCTTCTAATTAAATATCTATGTTAAGAACTCTGGGAATATGGGCTACAAATAAAAATATGTTCAAATTTAAAATCATTTATTTATTTACACTTCGTTGCAATAAAAATAAAAGAAACACAATAGATAAAAATTATAAGGGATGCAACGGGCGGCCGTCTTCTAGGCAACCCTAGTTAAAGAGAAAAACTAAAAAACAAACATGATGCGTGCGAGAAGTGCAGAACCAAATGTTATATAAAAAATATATATATAGAACTTTAATCTAAAGTAATAAAAAAAAAATATTAATAACAAACTAAAAACTTAAAAGCTAATCTTACAGATTCATGAACAGCGAATAGTGATGCAATGCAAAAGAAAAGGAAACAAGAATTACACAAGTCACGATTGATCAGGATAGGATAAGGTTAAGAAATGTTTATACAGAAGAGTTTTAAAAGATGACACTTATTGATGATTTACGTAACACAATGTAGGTACACTTATGAACGTCAATAAAGAAATGCTTCTAATTCACGCTAGACGAGAAGTTACAATGGGGACCTCATATAACATCTCTTGCGGGGCGGCTGAGCTCAGCCTTTCTCTTTCTTAATTTAATCTCTCTCTCTCTATTTAAAAATATTAATATTATGACAGTACCTTGCCAATTCATATATGAAAATATTATGTGTGTAAAGCTTACGCTTGCTTGCTTGTACGTTAGTTAACGGCACCGCTTTTCTAGGAAACAAAAAGAAAGCTTAAGGAAGAATCTACATCTTTTGAGTAAAATAAGTGATAGACATAACTTCATTACTAGAAATAAAAAAACAGAGATTTGTCCTCTATCAGCCGTAGGCATGGTGAAATAGGAGCACGCACGTACGTTCTCGTGGGAACAACACGCAAATATATGCTTTCTTTTATATTAATTTACTATCGTAGTCGATGGATGTTGTATTAAATACAAATATATGATCGTAAACCTGATATGGGGCCGATTCAATTTTCATATTTCGTTAAGTCTCAATTATTGTAGTAATTTAATTAAATAATTATGGTTTTCTTTGGGATTCACCGCTGGCCCTCAATTTGTATGATAAAAAGCGGAAGTTGTCATCATTGCCTCGTCAGAAGCATTATGAGAACTTATCTGCAAGACTACAGGTTATCATCGCCGGGTTCCTATGGGAACTCCGTCAATGCAGGCGATAGAATAAGTACTTGTAATATACTAGACGGTCCAAGGTCTCATTGAATATTAGCAAACCACCTGTTGGATATTGTAATTATTCAAATGTTATATTATCGCAATGGCGCGGTAGCAGAGCAATAAAACTTCCTTTTTGACAATGCCACACGGCGGCGAGTCTCTCCGTATATGATTTAGATAGTACTGAGATTACAAAAACAACATGTTCAGAACTTGAGAACACGTGTTTAGAACAAAACCAACTTATTATTGTAATTTTAGCCTTCACAAATACTTTTGTTTTTGTGCTTACAGCTTGATGTAAAGAATTTATAATTAGAGTTGACCTACATTATTTTACCTATTTATAATTATTATTGACCTATTATTTTATTGATAATTGTATTTTTTTTTATTATGGCTCTGGCACGGTTTGAGCATTAGCCAGCGTCAAGTATAAGATTTTTATAATTCGTGCTTTTTGCCTTAGAAATTCGACCGTGTCCTCCATGTACGGTTAAGGCACTCGCCCGGTACCGCACAACCCTCCTAAAGGCCAAAAACAAATTTAAATTAAATTAAAACTTGCCCTCGAACCGGGAATCGAACCCGGTACCCCTCGCCTAGCTGCCACTTAATAAGACCGCTAGGCTATGAGGCCCTTATTTGTATTTTAATTTATTATAATTGACAGAGAAAATAAAATGGCAGAGTGACAGCACATTTGTTTTTTATTAGCTGCGTGTTCCAAAAAGTAGGTTTTATTATGATTGGCTTTGGCTTATATAGACTTATGGGATGTGCTTGAAATAAATCACAACCCATTTTTATCTTTGTTAATTGGTTTATTCTTCACAAACAACAGTAATTAATTTATATTCACATAGAAACGCTCAAGGAAGAAAAACATATATATATTCACTTGTCTTCAAAGTCCGTCTGAGTGACGTGTTTTCTTCTTTCCTTAGTGTCCTATCTTTATGTTAAAACATACATCAAAATCCTAGAGAAAATACTACACAAAAGAGTATGTACATTTTTAGTGCGTATCTACGATTCGCTACAGACTAATCCCCTCCAAGTAGCTGGCATTTGCGGTTAATAGGCATGGCGGTTGGTTGGAGGGATGGTCAACATGGCATGGCTTGGTTTGGCTTGGCAGGATGTGACTGGCGACGTCACGTCCGTTACAGAATATAATGTGATATTAAGGTCCCTCCTTACCTCTAACTTGTTGTAACCATACCCAAGACTAACAAAGTTGGATACATTACTGGGTAAAATGGATACACTCTATACAACCTTATGTAAATTTATTTTGAATACGCTCCACCCTTTGAGAATATTTTTGAAGTTATACTTCTTTAGGCGCGTTATGAAAAATTTATGAGAGTGAAATTTTACGATGCGCGCGCACCATTACACAAAATTATCAGTATAAAGTTGCCCACTAACGAATTCTGTTTAAACCAGCCGGGCGCCGAGCGTGCGCGAGCGAGATATAACACTCGGAACGGAATAAGACAATCTACAAGTGAAAAGAAATAGAATACGCGTGAAGTTAGCAGCTATGCCAAGAATTTTGAATGACCATAATGACATTTACCTTTAAACTGTTTGAGTTTGACATACATATTCTATAAAGGTTATGAAACATACCTAGTTATTTTCATTATACAAGTGCGAATTTTATATGTGCGTCTGAATTATAATCAGAAGTGATTTAAATTGAATATTTAAATTAATACTAATTAATATTAGAAAATATTTGTACAAAAACTGTGCTCATCAACCTTCCTAAGTGCTTCAATACAATTGAGGTTAACTATCCATATATATTATTATTATCGAGTATTATTGTTGAGTAAAACTGAAACATGAACGGTTATTCATTGCTTTTGTTTATTTTTCTTGTTTTTTTTTCTTTTCGTTGTGGTCAAAAGAAACACAGATTTGGTTTATTAAATGTTTATTAATTAAATAATTCACGATGCTTTCAGCGCAGCGTCCAATTCAGAAAGTGTTGCGGTCGCCTTCTTCAATTGCTCTGTCTGCTGTTTGCCCGTCTTCGCGAGAGCAGAGAGACTGACTTTCAAATTGGCTAATCGAGTTTCCACTCTTTCCTTCTCCTCACTGAGGAGTTTAAGGGCCTTGGAACCTGAAAAGTTTTCGGCCATGAGCAAGTTTCGTTTGTGACATGATGCGTAATGGGGGCAAACGCCACTCATGGACACACATTGCCGGAAGACTGGCAAGTGAGTTGCCGGCCTTTTTTTACAGTACACGGGCAAACGGGCAGGAAGCTCATCTGATTTTAAGTGGTACCACCGCTCATGGACACACATTGCCGGAAGACTGGCAAGTGCGTTGCCGGCCTTTTTTACAGTACAGGGACCAACAGGCATGAAGCTCATCTGATGTTAATTGATACCGCCGCTCATGGACACACATTTCCGGAAGACTCGTAAGTGCGTTAGGGAGCGTTGAAGTATTACGTAACGAATTTGGGGGGTTCCTTTTTTAAAACGTTACGATGCGGGGGCGGGGATTGAATTACGCGTTACTGTTAATATTATTTTCGACTTTCCAGTACTTTACACCACATAATGGTACCTTATGTTTTACTATACTTGGGTACAGAAAACGTTACGGTGCGTTACATGGGGGGGATTGTCAATAATCTCTAAAAATTGCGTGACGTAATATATGAACGCTCTCGTACCAGCCTTTTTTACAGGCTCATCTGATTTATTAATTTATTTAGAGTATGGGAAAACGAACATTGTGACTTTATCTATAATATAAAAATGAATAGCAAAATGTGTTGGTAAGCGCATAACTCAACAACGCCTGGACCAATTTGGCCAATTCTTTTTTTATAATATTCCTTGAAGTACGAGGATGGTTCTTACGGAGAGAAAAATTTAAAAAAATGAGTGAAAAAGTCTAAAAACAACTTTTCTATATTCCCATACAAAATATTCGTAATAATATTTAAAGGCAATTTGAACTTTAATACCATATCATAAAGTTCAAGTGTTAGTGGAGGGGTTTCGGGAAGGTAAATTTTTATTTTTTGACATAATGTATTTGTTGTCTTATCAACTTTCTTTTTTTATCTTACTAGCAAGACCGGTGTCCCGAATAGCAGAATAAGTATTTAAAAAAAATAAAGAATCGACTGTTAGGCGGTACGATGTTCGCCAGGCCAGCTAGTATATTACATAAACTTACCTAACAGAGGTATATAATCACCGGCCTTTTCATCTCGTATATCAAGAGTGAACCATTCGTCCACGTCTTCAGAGTCCGATGACTGAAAATCCTGTAAAAAAATCAGTGTGCAAATAAAAACATTGCCACTTTTTTTTAAATGGCTCTGGCACTGTGCATTAGCCAGCGTCTAGTATAAGATTTTATAATTCGTGCTTTTTGCCTTAGAAATTCGACCGTGTCCTCCATGTACGGTTTAAGCACTCGCCCGGTACCGCACAACCCTCCCAAAGGCCGAGAACAAATTTAAATTAAATTAAAACTTGCCCTCGAACCGGGATCGAACCCGGTACCCCTCACCTAGCTGCCACTTAATAAGACCGCTAGGCCCCTAATTGCCACTTCAATATGACGACTCATTGGTCTAATGGTTAGTACCCCTGCGAATCCATGGGTTCGATCCCCGGCTGAGATAAACATCGATGCGATGAGCATTTGGTGTTGTGCTTAGGTCTTGGATGTTTGAATATGTATTTATATGTCTATCTATAATATGTATGTATATCCGTTGCCTAGTACCCATAACACAAGCTTCACCAGCTTAACATGGGACTAGGTCAATTGGTGTGAATTGTCTTTTAAAAAAAAAAATCTAGGTCTGGGTTTTAGTCAAGTAGGTGATCAGCCTTCTGTGCCTGACACTGACGACTGATGATTTATTTGGCCTACCTCTTTAGTACGAGAGTGTTCGCTCCTCCAGAGTAAAAACCCAACATTAGAACGTTCTCTATTAAACCTTCGTAAGAGTTCCAAGAATAAAAATCTACTAGAATTGGTCCAGCCGTCTTCTAGTCGCTTAGAATTTGCGATTCATTTATTTATTAAAGTTCATCACATATATAATGCATACAGTATATGTTACGCACGTACACACTATCTTTTCTAAAATATAATTGGCAATGATGATACAAAAAAAACGACGGGTTGCACTCCGGGAGTGCTGGCAGAAGTGAAAACTTGAATATTAACGTATTTTTGATATTTTGGAATGGTCAGGGAATAATTTTGCACGAATTGCTTTAATTATCAGTATAAAAGTACTATCCATTTATGTGGTAGAATACATTATTTATTTATTGCGCTGTCGTACACAAACATGACAATTTATATTACATTAAATACGCCGCGCCAGCTGTCTACTCTTCATCCGTCTTACGAATTTTCGATCAGGTCACGTATCCTGACGCGAGTTTAACATTTTTTACCCATTCAAAAAAAAGTGTACAACGCCGCTAAAGAAGTTTTCACTTCAAAAATATAATAAAAACTATTTTAAAAATCCATATGAAACTACCTTTTGGAAGGGATTATTTTTGACATGTAATTTTGACTCCCAAAAGTGCCTTTGTTTTAAATTCATTTTTATTTATTTATATAGAATCAAATTGGCTTTATTATTGAAGTGAAACTTCTTTATCGAGGTTGGAAAAAAAATTTAGTGTAACATTTTTTCGTTACGCGTCACATTTTTCGGTTACGCGCCATGTTGCTTTTTGAAGTCAAACTTCTTTATCGGCGTTGGAATGAAACTTCTTTATTGACGTATGGGAGAAATTTTGTAGCAAATCGTCACGTTTTTCAATGATAGTAATAATTCTATTACAATTAATGAAATTCTATAATAATCTTCGTAGTAATAAGGTAAAATGAAATATTTGTATTCATGCCTATGATAATAAAAGCCTTTTGTTAAACTTTATCTAATTTAACGAATTTCTGTAAAGTTGCATATAGTAGATCATTTTTCGAAAAATAAGATCATAAAGAAGTTTCACTTCTTACGTGTGTACACCTAGTACACGCACAATTTATTTATATTATATATACTAGCTGGTGCCCGCGACTTCATCTGCGCAGGATTAGAAATAATATTAGTCCAAATGATGTAGTGTGAGAGACATATTTTATCTACTTCAAATACCAGAAGCGATATAAGTATCTATTTTCATTTAGGAATCAATTTATTATTACGAAATGTGCATTTGAAATAAATTATCATTTTTTAATTGTAGTTATGGTTCACTATTTTGGCTATAATAGCTTACTTTTTTTTTGAGAAACTTATGCTTGCGTTGATTGTCGCACATTTTGGATGTCAGATTTTGTAAAATAATTGGTAGATTTAGGACTGTGTGTGATGTCGTGGGCTTGATAACTAAATAAATAAAATAAAAAATACACATAATATAAAAATAACATAATAATATAATATAATATAAAGAGAATGATCTCTTTAATTTGAATATTCGCGCGCACTGCTAGTTCGTGAGTGAGCCGCGTCGTGTCACGTCAAGCTAGCTGCCATTGTCAATACGCGTTGCAGACCAAGAGCTAAGCTACGTTAGTTTAGCTTAGCTCGCATAGCTGACGCAATTTTCCATACGTTTGTGCAGACCGCAAACTATGCGAACTAAGCTATGAGAGCTAACTAAAATATGCGAAGCTAAGTTAGTTGTGTATGCCGATGCGCAGCTACACGAGCTAAGCTAAGCCCCTCCCGCTACCCCGCACACCCTTTGCACATAGTATGCAACACTGACTGAGCTTTGGGTTAGCTGTTGGTGTGCACGCTATTTATTTCTAGCTTAGCTTAGCCTAGCTTGCTTGGCATAGCTTAGTTTAGCCTTGGCATAGCTTAGTTTTCGGTCTGCAACCGGTTCAAAGATGTAAAGGACAATTATGCTGAGATCGTTGAATTGTATTTTAATCTTTGTTAATTAATTTGATACTTAGTTAAGCTATATGCATCGAGAGGTGATAACAATAAACTTTTATTGTCGTTTCTTTACTTACAGGTGAGATTGTGCTAGTCTTGTAAGGATTGTATCAGTGTGTAACCTACTCGATAAATAAAATTGCATTCTTTTCTTACAGAGAAACAAATAGAAGTTTTATTTAGCCTCTTGCAATTGAAATACAAACTATTGTCTTATATACATATTATAATATACGCCTTTAGTATATTTTTATTATTATTTTATAGTTCTTGATACTATTATAAAACAATATTACAAAAGAGTTTATATACAATATAATATAGGACTTTGTATAGGAAAATATATTATGTTTTCCTTACATAGATATATACTGTGGTGGGCTTTTTTGTAGAGCTATTAAAGATAAACATTTCCATCATACATAACATATGTGTAACTCTAGCAGTTTCGGCAGCGCACGCCAGAATAGCTTGCAGATGGTAGGTTTTTTTCCTATATTATATATTATAGGACATTTTGGACAATTCACACCATATCTTTATAAATTGTAGCCTATATGTTATTCTAATGTATAAACTATATTATAGTAAAGTTTCATTAAAATCCATTCAGTACTTTTTACGTGAAAGAGTAATAAACATCCATCCATACTTACAAACTTTCGCTTATAATATTAGTAAGTAAATAAATATACGTACATCAAACAACGAGTCGTCTTCAGACACGTTCGTATCACAATCGGAAGGCACTTCCTCGTCCATTACTTCCGGTTTCATTATATCTTGGAATTTTGGTTTACTTTCCACCTGAGAAAACTCCTGAAAATATCATTCATTTATCTGATACAAGCCGTTTTCCGCCCGCTTCGCTGAGCGAATTAAAATAGGAAATAAATAAAATCTTATGTTTCATTATTATTATTTTTTCATATTTTTATTATTCTTCTTTTTAAGTTCCCGCTAAAAAATTGAAAATTTTCGACAATCGAGTTTTTAACAAATGTTGACGTTTCGAGGTTGTTTCATAAAAGTAAAACAGCAATAAAAAAATAAATAGCCATAAACCATCTAGGAAAAATTTCGCGCATCGAATGGCAGTAGTTTCATGTCGATACGATCAGTGGTTTAGGCGTGAAGGAGTCTCAAACGAAGACCATTTTTCTTATATATATATATATATATATAATAGATTACAATGAATCAGCACCGAGAATCGACATTGCAGTTACATTCGCAACAAATTAAACCTATTATCTCTATATAACGACACTTAATGGAATGTGCATTTTAAGGAGAAAATCAGAATGAGAAAGAAAATTTATTTCAGAGTAGAGGAGCGTCCAAGTATTATGTAACGAATTTTGGGGGGGGGGGCTCCTTTTTGTAAAACAATGCGGGGCGGGGATTGAATTACGCGTTATTGTTAATATTATTTCTATTTTCCAGTACTTTAACACCACATAAAGGTAACTTTTAGGCCTAAAGACTCACTGGGTGGTTACGAAACGTTTTACTATTGGGTACAGAAAAACGTTATGGCGCGTTACATTGAGGGGGTCAATAATCTCCAAACACGTTAACGATCAAGACTAAAACGTAGGCACTGACTGAAAATATAAAGCACGATGCATGGTCAGATATCATAGCATTAACACATTTGCAGTGACAAGTACGATGCATGGTCAGGCAACATCAACATTATCGCTTATTACAAATACAAGCACGACGCATGGTCAGTCATCGTCACATTACCACACATTACTGGGACAACCCGACACATGAACACAAATATTACCTCCATATCTTCATCCAGATATTCTTCAGTATACTGTAATTCTTCTTTGATCGGCTGCGTGATCTCCCTCGAGAAAGTTGGTTTTTTGATTATACTCTGCACTTCGCGTGTTATCGTTTTTAACTGTGGTTTACCTGAAATCAATACGAAGACAATAAGTATTACGTCACGCAATTTTTGGAGAATATTGACCCCCCTCCCCTCGCGTAACGCGCCGTAACGTTTTTCTGTACCCAAGTACAGTACTGTAACCAAGTATAGTAAAACGTTTCGTGATCACCTAGTGACTCTTTATACCTAAAAGTTACCATTATGTGGTGTAAAGTACTGGAAAGTCGAAAATAATATTAACAATAACGCGTGATTCAATCCCCGCCCCGCATCGTAACGTTTTAGAAAAGGACCCCCCCCCCCTCCAAAATTCGTTACGTAATACTTGAACGCTCCCTTAACCCTGAATATAAAAGTTTTAATAATTGTAGCGAACAATAATATCATTATCTATTTTTAAAAAGAACAGCGGGCAAACGGGCAGGAGGCTCACCTGATGTTAATTGATACCGCTGCCCATGGATACTCTCAGTGCCAGAATGAATCAAATTGGTTTGGAAATACTTCAGTGGGAAGCTGATTCCACATAGTGGTGATGCGATCAACTGCCTTAAAAATCACTCAGTTGTGGAACGACGTACTTCAAGGTGATAGGGGTGGAATTTCGTATTCTGGCTCTACGTCCGATGAAAAAATAATCTTAATTCTATGATATTATTTTAGGTTCTATTGCTATCATCAGGGCAAAATTTCTGCCTTGCGAGCATTCTAAAAGTTAAATCTGGAGAATACGGTAGAATAAATTTGGATTTATTACGATTGAAGCTTCGGGTCAGAATTCGTTGTTGGTTTTGGTCGCCAAAAAGCAGTACTTTATTAAAACACGAAATTATTAAGCTATTGCATAGCCTCTATCGCGGGCCTCGAGCGTGGAAACCGAATTCAGAAATTCCGTAACGAAAATAATCTTACGCTCCGACCGGCATCTCGGTGATACTTTTTAGTGTTGCCATCTATCGATGAATAGCAGAACTTTTAATGACTTTTTGAAATATCACGCTTGTCTCTTTGGTTCAGCAACTCGCCTCTAGGTGGCATTGGTTGTATCGACGTTACTGCGCATGCGTAATCCCCCTCTTCGCCCCGCAATCTGGTGACTAATGCCTGCTTAGATTTTCGGCGTTAGGGCACCTCCTCTTTGTATTTACTTCATGTTACGACTCTACGAAGCTCGCACTACGTGCAATACGTTAACATCTCATTTATTTAATAAAAGAAAAAAAAATGTTTTCTTATCGGTCACCACGCTCTAAAAGTGTAACTTGAATTAATATCAAAGAAGAAAAAAACAAACGAAAAAAAATACTGCATAAATAAAATAAATAATTATAATTGCATACGTTGATAAAAAATGCTATCCAGCTTTACCGCGGCAGTCTCCCAGTGCGACACGTCTTTTTTTTTTAAACAAACAAAAGTATAGGCAGCGGCACGTAAGTCTAGCGCTGGCCGATACGTGGAGGGGATTGCTGCGCATGTGTACTGTCGCGCGGGGGACGGAATGCGACTGGAGAGCCAATCGAAACTCTTCATTCCGCTAGCCCCCCTCAGGTACCTTATTATTTACTTCTGCGCAATAACGGTCAGCGCTAGAGTTTCGTGCCGCTACTTGTACCTTCACTCAAAATACTATATCTCACAAATAGTACGACTTTCATACTAGTAGCACCATCTATCAGCCCAATAATTTACGACCTTAACCTTCAGAATACACAAACAATTCATAAAACATACAAATACATATGAAATATTACCTCGACTCTTGTCAACGATGACAGCCTTCTTGGTGACTGTTATGGAGGGCCTGATGACTCCAGCCTTGCCCGTAGTTTCCGCTGCAACTTTGCTGGCTCTCTCCTTCGCCATACCGAATATTCGCTTCATTGTTGTCACCTCTTCTGATGACTACAATTAAACATATTTTCTTTTCATGATGAGTTTTTTTTCTAAAATCTAAAAATACTGGAATATACTACAATATTTGGTGGTACGAAAATAGTGTGGGTCCGTTCAAGGATTACGTAAGATAATTGAATTATTTGAAAACTTTCGGATGGCAACACAGAATGTCATTGAATTTCTTAGGTTAGTATGATTTATTGTCTTGATACTTTGCAATTACTCAATTTTATTTTTATTACATATTTTTTCCGAATAGTTAACAGGTATAATAGCCTAAACTTTGTTTTATTTGATAAAATATTTCGTTTCTTTCGCAGGATTTGATTATTCCGAATAAAGTTGTGTTTTATAATAAATATAGTTTTAGTTTTCCATGCAATGCTAGTCATTTTAAGTATCAATAGTAAAATACTAAATACGTTACTATCAATGTAAAAAATAATAAAATAAAATCAAGTAACAAGTAAGTTTAATCCATAAAATATATCAAACTTTTAGGGATACCATTACTAAAGGGACATTTCACGTGAAGCGGACAGGGAAAAAAAAGTGAGGTTCTGAAAATCTACCACATTCGGCCCATTTGTACTTCTAGTAGGTATGAATGTGTACGCAAAATATTTTTTTTGTATAGTGTATATTTACCAAGTTATAGGTTTCAAAAGAATTGTCGTTGATTGGTACTACAATTTTTCGAAAGTAATTTTTCGAATATAACAAATCTACTATAAAATATTTTACATAGCGATACATATTAAAAATATACTGTTCTTTTTGACAGTAAAAAAAAATTAAAAAATTAAAAAAAAATTAATGGTCAAAACCGGAAGTAAACTTTTCAAACCAGAATTACAGTCACTTCGACCAATTTTTTTTAATTTTTTTTTCTTTCAAAATATAGCTTAAATGATAATGAAAGTACACTAGAAAATTTAAAATGGGATCTCTATTAGTTTAGGAGATACGTTGAATAATATACACCCGCGTCGCAAGGGGCGTCATATGTAGCACTTTGCTTAGATCGGTTGGTAGTCAAAAAAAATGGCTTGTATAAATTACTGTGATAAAATAGTTCAAACATAATAAAACAACATTGGTACAACACAAGAACTGTTTATTTTGTAATTTTAACAATTTTACAATGGGAATCTATGGCAGAACTGGTCCTCTTTACAAGAAGGCCTGTGGTTGTTGGAATGAAGCTGTGAAACTTTTTTTTCCAAAAAAATTCTCTGACGCTCTATATCATCTTTAGAACAGAAATAAATGGCGGTTTGTTTTAAAGATGATTTTGCCCATTCATATAATCGCATTGGTGTTATAATTGCTTTACTTGGAGGTAACTGTAAACTTGCACGCGCAGCTAAACGTTTCAGATTCCCCCCTAGACCATCGCATGGCCCCTTGCCGTGAGATGTTGCATGAAAATGCAACTCTGCATCTGCATTAAAATCTTCTTTGTAATAAAACAGATTCACAAAGTTAAATCTATTTTTAAAATGTTGGGAAGCCCCGTCAGTTATGTATATAATTTTTGATCCAACTATCGATTTGTCTAAAAGATGCTTGTGTAGTAGCTTTTGAAAAGCATAAAAGGTGGCTGTGTCATGCTTCAGGTCGTCAGAAATCATAACAATGCTTCCGTGTTTTACTTCATTACCGTCTCTGTAGTAAAAAACTGACGTTAGAAGCGTTGCCTGTGCATTATTCCAATGAAAGGATTGAGCAGCATCTTGGACAATAAAACTATAGTTTTCTGCAAAATCACATTGTACGAGAATTTGACCTTCATCGATAGTCTCCTTAAGAGTTTTAATATAAACCGCCTGTTGCTCTGCAATGTAAGCATGAGATTTCAAAAGGTCCAAATCGTCACAAAACTCATCTACAAAACTATCGGAAGATAAAAGTCGAGTAGATATCGTGTAGCGGTCTGTGCCATCCCATTTTTCAAACTACACTTCTGTGACTTGATTGTTATCAAATTGTATTTTTAAATACTCTCGAATTGCACTTAAGCCTGGACAAGAATTACAGCGTTCATTTGGCGGTGTCTTAGTAGTCATTAAATGACACGTCAGTGTTGGATTGGGACACATCATCTGGCGAAGGCAATCCTTATAAGATGAAAGTTGCATAGCAGATCCAGCTGTAAGATTAGCAATGTCTCCTCCATTCAACATCAATTTCACGTTTTGATGGTAAGTACAAATACATACCATATGTGTTCCAGAGTCGCCTGCGAGGATACATTGTTTGGGTCTTAGTGTAAAAAACTTTGTTAAGCCTACCTTGATGTTAGGGTATTCATCTTTAAACCTCTGATAAAGTTCGTCAATGTTACAGAGAAGGAGCTGTTTCTGTATGTGCGTTCTTTTCCATCGTCTAATTTAACAGATATAAAAACTTTTTACCAGGCATTATGCGGCTAATGTCTTCTCGTAGATAAAAATCTTTAACCAAGTTCTCCGTCTCGGCTGGTAGTTTACGACCACCGCGTGGGTTCGAGAGGATAAGATACCGAACTGATTGACAAGTTGTTTTGCTTTTCTTGCTTGTGCCTGGACGTTCCAAATTCTTCTGCAAGTTTATTTTCACTCCATGACGTGGGTGCTATTGTTAATATCATAGTCTTCATAGAAGTAGAAGTAGAAGGATGATTGAATTTCTTTTTTAGCTGCTTTAAAATTTCTTCGTTTTCTATGGATGTGTCGGTTTGGGTGGAAATATGTTTAAACTTATCTTCGGGAATAAACGGTTCATCTTCAATGTTTTGCGAAGGTTCACTAGATGTTTGACTGCATTGCACAATGTCTTCATTAGCTACTGGAGGAGATTCAGTCAAAAGTCGTTTCCTGCAGGAGGCACATACGTAAAGATCTTGTGAAAAACTCCACTTTTGAGCTAAACATTTAGATATTTTCCTTAAATTTTTAAATTTTCGATGAAGTACCAAGTGAAATGGGTTAAAACATCGATCACCGTACGGCGCCATTAATAATAACAACTGTCACAGATTAAAACGTGCACAAGTCGCTGAGCGGTTAAAGCAACACTAAAGTTTAAGTTACGAAACCGCTAGGCGTCATATTTCTATCTCTTTCTTGTAGAAGACAGTTTGACTCTATCTGAGACAAAAAAGTACTACACGTTACTAACAGATGGCGCTATTAGTCACGTTTCGCAAATAATAAAACTTTTCTACTGCTCCAAAAACGTTTTTTCTTTATAATATATTATTAACTTATATTTGTATTATGTAGTTATATTTATATTAATAAAACTTATTTCATATCATTAAATGAGGTTAAATATACGCTAAAACGATATAAAATATTAATAAAGTTGCAATATCGCGCAAACTGCTCAACCTTGCAAGCGCTACATATGACGCCCCTTGCGACGCGGGTGTATATTATTCAACGTATCTCCTAAACTAATAGAGATCCCATTTTAAATTTTCTAGTGTACTTTCATTATCATTTAAGCTATATTTTGAAAGAAAAAAAAATAAAAAAAAATTGGTCGAAGTGACTGTAATTCTGGTTTGAAAAGTTTACTTCCGGTTTTGGCCATTAATTTTTTTTAATTTTTTAATTTTTTTTTACTGTCAAAAAGAACAGTATATTTTTAATATGTATCGCTATGTAAAATATTTTATAGTAGATTTGTTATATTCGAAAAATTACTTTCGAAAAATTGTAGTACCAATCAACGACAATTCTTTTGAAACCTATAACTTGGTAAATATACACTATACAAAAAAAATATTTTGCGTACACATTCATACCTACTAGAAGTACAAATGGGCCGAATGTGGTCGATTTTCAGAACCTCACTTTTTTTTTTCTGTCCGCTTCACGTGAAATGTCCCTAAATTTACTTGAATTTGCCGCGCTTTTTCGTTATCGTCATTCATTAGCCAGACTCTAGCCTGCAGTAAATTCCCTATAAAATCCCCCCCTCCATAGTGCTTACGTATTACTTGTCATTGAGAGTAATCATGTGTAGAGGCGTAATTATTAATAATTAGTAATTATTATGTATTATTATTGTCTATATAGAATTATTATTAATTAGTAATTATTATGTATTATTATTGTCTATATAGAAATTTCGCAATTCCATTTGTAATATAGTCGACGTATCGTTATTTCGTAATTCCACTTGCACGTGGATCAATCAGTCGCCCTAAAACCGCCATGTAAGTCAGAGGACAATAAAGACAGTGAATTCTATTTCGGGTTTCATTTGGTGTACCTCTAACACTAAACACGGTAATTTATTATTTATTATTCATTATTCATTATTCATTATTCATTATTTATTATTCATTATTCATTATTCATTATTCATTATTCATTATTCATTATTCATTATTCATTATTCATTATTCATTATTCATTATTCATTATTCATTATTCATTATTCATTATTCATTATTTATTATTTATTATTTATTATTTATTATTTATTATTTATTATTTATTATTTATTATTTATTATTTATTATTTATTATTTATTATTTATTATTTATTATTTATTATTTATTATTTATTATTTATTATTTATTATTTATTATTTATTATTTATTATTTATTATTTATTATTTATTATTTATTATTTATTATTTATTATTTATTATTTATTATTTATTATTTATTATTTATTATTTATTATTTATTATTTATTATTTATTATTTATTATTTATTATTTATTATTTATTATTTATTATTTATTATTTATTATTTATTATTTATTATTTATTATTTATTATTTATTATTTATTATTTATTATTTATTATTTATTATTTATTATTTATTATTTATTATTTATTATTTATTATTTATTATTTATTATTTATTATTTATTATTTATTATTTATTATTTATTATTTATTATTTATTATTTATTATTTATTATTTATTATTTATTATTTATTGAAGTGAAACTTCTTTATCGAGGTTGAAAAAAAATTTAGTGTAACATTTTTTCGTTACGCGCCATGTTGCTTTTTGAAGTCAAACTTCTTTATCGGCGTTGGAATGAAACTTCTTTATCGACGTATGGGAGAAATTTTGTAGCAAATCGTCACGTTTTTCAATGATAGTAATAATTCTATTACAATTAATGAAATTCTATAATAATCTTCGCAGTAATAAGGTAAAATGAAATATTTGTATTCATGTCTATGATAATAAAAGCCTTTTGTTAAACTTTATCTAATTTAACGAATTTCTGTAAAGTTGCATATAGTAGATCATTTTTCGAAAAAGAAGATCATAAAGAAGTTTCACTTCTTACGTGTGTACACCTAGTACACGCACACATTTTTTTTAATGGCTCTGGCACGATTTGTGCATTAGCCAGCGTCAAGTATAGGATTTTTTATAATTCGTGCTTGTCTTTAGAAATTCGACCGTGTCCTCCATGTGCTTAAGCACTCGCCCGGTACCGCACAACCCTCCCAAAGGCCGAGAACAAATTTAAATTAAAACTTGCCCTCGAACCAATCCGGTACCCCTCACCTAGCTGCCACTTAATAAGACCGCTAGGCTATGAAGTTAAATTAGTGTTTAAAAAAAAAACTATACTCACGTCATAACTGTCACCCTCTCTGTCACTTGTCACTTCAGTCTTAAGTGTGTATTTCATAGATTGGTTCTCGCTTTGCTGAAAAAAATTATATCTAACTCGTGAATTGTTTATATAGAACAAACGGGCAGGCTTAGCTGATGTTATAGGGCTCGCAAGTGCGTCGAGAGCCTTTGAAAAATTTGTACGACTTATGTATTGAAATTGAAAATTTTAATTTGAAGAAAACTTTATGGAACTCAACGTCGGCTTTCGCAAGCGCGTTGCCGGCTTTTTAGAAATTGGTACGCTCTATTCGTACATAGACACAACATTTATTACTAACGAAACACATACACAGAAACACACAAAATATTATAATAATCAACCTATGGAAAAAACGGAATGAGTAATTTTAAGTGTGAAATGTGTGTGTGTGTTTTGGTTGTAAATAGCCCTGACTCAGCAATGGAGCAGACGTGTTCTAATATTATTTGTGTGTAAAGTATTTAGTAAAAAAAAAAAAAAAAAAATTGTTACTGAAACTATTGTAAGAAATAGATATTTTGAGCGGATTAAAAACTAGATTTCGTGGGATTTTTGTTGAGTACATGTACTTAAGGAAAACATCGTGAGGAAACCAACATGTCTTAGACCCAAAAAGTCGACGGCGTGTGTCAGACACTGGAGGCTGATCACCTACTTGCCTATTAGATTTAAATGATCATGAAACAGATTCAGAAATCTGAGGTTTATAAGCCTGCAGAAAAGGCCTACCTGTCTCACATCGTATGTATCTTCGTCACTCATATCCTCGGGCTCCGCCTTTGTGGGTACCTTCTTGTTCAAAACACTTCTTGCCACGCGCACTTCTCTTATGTTCTCTGCTTGCTGAAAATATATTTTTTTCATTTATAAATGTAACTTAGGGAGCGTTCCTTTTTTTTGGAGACTATTAACCCCCCCCTATGTAACGCGCCGTAACGTTTTTCTGTACCCAATAGTAAAACGTTTCGTGACCACCTAGAGACTCTTTATACCTAAAAGTTACCATTATGTAGTGTAAAGTACTGGAAAGTCGAAAATAATATTAATAATAAAGCGTAATTCAATCCCCGCCCCGCATCGTAACGTTTTACAAAGGACCCCCAAATTCTTTACGTAATGCTTGAACGTTCCCATACAACAACTAACAACGTAAGTTTGCTCAAAATAAATATTTATTATTATTTATAGGCAAGTAGCTGAAGGAGCGTTCGTACGTAACGAGTTTTGAGGGGGGGGGCTTTTTAAAAAACGTACCGGGGGGGGCCGGGATTGAATTACGCGTTATTGATAATATTATTTTCGACTTACTCCACATAGTAACTAAAGAGTCACTAGGGTGGTCATGGAAAACGTTTTACTATACTTGAGTACAGTACTGCAGGCCTGGGTATTGAAAAACGTTACGGCCGGCGATGGGGGGGCAATATACCATTGCGTTATGTAATACTTGAACCTCCCTGATCAGCTTTATATGCTGACAAGAGTCTCCTCATAGTTCTTCCTTCAGCATATATACCTTAAATACATCGTCATCATCACTTGTATCATCATGTCTGTCTGCTCTTGCTTTCTTCGTTAACTCTTTGGTCTTTGTCTTTTGATCATCTTCACCAAGCATTCTCTAAAATATTAAAATATGAAAGCTGTAATTCAGGTGCAAACAAAAAATTAATTAATATAAAATTAAATTTTTACACAAATATTTGAAAAGATAACTTCAGGATTAAGAAAGACACAGTTGCAAACACTTATCATTTATAATTTTATATTTAAAAAACGTACCAGTAATTCATCAGTGGAATGTCCGTCATCATCAGATTGTTGTATTGATTCATCTATGTCACTCTCTTCTTTTGCTTCATGCTTTTTCTTGCGAACTAGGAATGTACCTAGGGCTTCGGGTATCTCAGAGTTCTGAAGTTATAAAACCATGGTTACATTGGCAAAAATTGTGAGAGGAAGACAAAATTCAGTTAAACCAACATACCGGTTATATTGACCAATTAAAGGTCCTGGCGGGTAGAACTACGCTGTTACAACTATCGGTTTTTACGAACAAATATGAGCAGTCCCTTCAGGTTGTTTTAACAGATTTTGACTGTATTAATAAAAATAAATTACTAACTAATCCACTAGAAATTTTGTAGTGTGAAAATAACATTAACTTCACATACAAATTGGGCTCATTTAGATATTACGGTATCTATATGGTTATTTATTAATTGATTTTATATCTATTTGAATTTGTTTTATTATAGTTCCAAGAAAAACAAGTGTAAACTCTTTATAACAACACTCAAGGGACTGTACATATTCAATATTACAAAGAGTTGTTAAATGGAAAGAAGAAACATCTGAATTAGAAAAAGAAAAAGTTAATTTCAGACTAGTGTTAGTAATTGATCCAAATTTTTGTATTTAGGTATCTTTAACTTTTGGGAATTTTCTATCCTCCTCTGTTAGTAGAATTTTTTTCTTTATTTTTCCTTATTGTAGAGATTAATTATCCCGCTTCTATTGGCAACTTACAAAGTACTTTTTCTTATTTAATTGTTGATGTTATTAAGGGTGGGTATAATGCCATGTAGAGTGTAACATTGAATGGAAGACAAGTTAAACCAACCAAAGCCAGATGATTTCGAAGCTTTAGGGGGTTTGTTGTTAAATCAAGGGATGTTACATGGAGTTTACACTGTAATTTAATGAGAATAAATAACCATACCTGACTAGTACCTTCCATACTATCCAAGGCTTGTTCAATATCTTCAGCTTTCGTTGTGCTTGTTTCATTTTGTGTCTGAACTATTTGGCTATCTTCATTCTGCATTGATTCATCTGCTAATTTACTATCATCTAAACTTTCATTTGTTTGGTTATTTTGGTCGGCCTGAAATTTTTTACAAAAAGATTTCTTAAAGAGTAGGCAGGACCAATAGCTACATGCACATTTGAGGCTTAGGGGTGTCTGAACACTGCCATCTTTACTATTTACTTCTTGGCCACACCCAAATGTGAAACAACCCATACTATTAGTAGTAATAGACGATATACATACCATAGTAGTTCCATCATCATCAGTGAGTATCCCTTCACTGAGCCATTCCTCTTGGCCCTCATCCAACTCATCATCTGTCCCTTGACAAGAAGTCTATAAGAAAAAATAAATTGATAGTGATAAATGCCTTCCTTTTCCCTCAATAAGGCAAGTATATATATTATAGTAATTAAACTGCTGTGCCCACCATGTCACTTATTATTTACATAACATGCTGCTAAGAAATACTTTATTAATTTACGGAGTATATTCTGTGTCAAAGCCGTGCCGGTATTGTACACAAACTATTAAACATTTAGCAATGGATTATGTCAATACCACGTTAATTAATTACCCAGGAAAATGCATATTTCTGGCAAGGCATCTGTGAATACATTTATAAAGAAAAATTGTAAAAAATAACCTAGTCTTTCATACGATCGATAATTTACCTCGATCTTAGACATTTTAGCTGCTGGTTCTTCAGTGTCTGACATCTCTACAGTATAAATATTTCAAAACAAGCTTTTTCTTTCGTTTAACAGGAATATACTGCTGCAAACGAGTATTGTTAAATGTTAATTTCACGTTAACTTAAAGTATACAATTAACAATATACTTTTTGTAATACACAAACTTCATCAAAATTCAAAACATCGGACAGCTTTTTTTTTTGGCCCGCTTAATTTTTTTTTCTTTTCACCCATGGCGCAGCCGTATAGTCATTCGACCATAGTGCCTAGTCTTTGTGCGTTTTCCAATTACAGAGCATTATGCGACTCAGTGCCGCACAATGCCGCATAATGCTGAAGCTTAATTGGAACGTGAATTAGTTTTCAAATGCATCAGCAGAGTGCGCTAAGTCAGTGTTGACAAAAAAAATGGTCTGAATAGAGTTAGCAACCTCATTAATGTATAAATAATATGGTAAACAATAATATGTAATTGGTTGAAAACTTTTTACGCTTATTTTAATAATCAAATTATTTCATTAACATTTTTTTACTGAAATAAGAGAAAACTTTTAAAGAATATAAGGTTTTACAATACAAGCTAAATAAACAGTAAAATATTTAGTTTCATGTAAGAAGTTTACATCATTTACGTTTTGAGTAAATTTTTTTAATGATTTCTAAAAAAAATATATACTTTTTCAAAACCATTGCAATGTTTACAAAAGTATAATCCTGTAAAATAAATTTGTTTACAGATGCGAATTATAAAATAAAATTGTATTCATATTTTAAATGTGGAATATAAAAAAAGTAACTATTTATACCTTCATCCATACTTATATTAATTTTTTTTAACAGTTTGAAATAACTTTAATTATTTTTAAAATCTACGACGGAACGAAAGCCTTAAAAATTTTTCAACAATAAATAATATTTACTAACGAAAATTTCGATAAATGCCAACTTAAAGAAAAACACTGGTCAATTTTCTGTCACTGAAATGCTGTAATTGGAAAACGCACAAGGGTAGCATTTTTCCTTTGAGTTCCATTTAGTTAATTTATGTGGCCTGCTTTGAGCCAAAAGACAGCTTTTTAATTCATTATAACTGGCACAGATTTAGTAGAGACTACAGTTAGACACAGATATGATTATGGTAGGGATAAGGGATTTTTTGTTGTTTTTATTATTTCGTACATTCCACGGAGTATCTATCTTTAGTCCGTATACACATCTGCCGTCTTTTGCTAGTGACTCTTAGAATTATAAGAAAAAGCATACTGCAAGTTGGTTCTTTATATTCAATGTGTTTTCATTTACTTGTTACAAGTAGTTTAAAATTCGAGCTCTATGTATTGTTTTTTTGTCAACACTTGAATAGAATCGTAGATACGTAAGTAATCTTTACTATAGTTCATATTTTAGTAGACCAAAAGTTGAAGACCAAAATGTATTTTTGAAGTGAAACTTTTTTATCGGGGTTGGAAAAAAATTTAGTGTAACATTTTTGAAGTTATACTTCTTTAGGCGCGTTATGAAAAATTTATGAGAGTGAAATTTTACGATGCGCGCGCACCGTGACTCAAAATTATCAGTATGGGCGCCGAGCGTGATGGGAATAAGACAATCTACAAGTAAAAAGAAATAGAATATGCTTGACGTTAGCAGCTATGCCAAGAATTTTGAATGACCATAATGACAATAGTAGTACCTTTTAAAAAAATAAAGGAGTTTTAATTATTTTTTCAAAGAAATTTAGCAATGCCTAGTTATTAAATTGAATTAATAATATAATAAAATAATAAATAATAATTTTTATTAATATTAACTAATAATTGAATAATATACTAAATATTAAATATTGTTAAATTATTAACGCTAAATATTTATTATTAATTATTTAATATTTAAAAAAATAAAGAAAGCCAAAGAAGTATAACTTCTTACGGGCCTACATAAGTACACGCACCATTTTTTTTCGTTACGCGTCACATTTTTCCGTTACGCGCCATCTTTTGAAGTGAAACTTCTTTATCGACGTATGGGAGAAATTTTGTAGCAGGTTACGCGTCATGTTGCTTTCTGAAATCAAACTTCTTTATCGGCGTTGGAAAAAAAATTACACACATTTGTCACATTTTTCGGTTACGCGCCATCTTTTTCTTGTTCCTACCACGGTTGATCCGAAGAGATTCGAAGCCATTAGTAACAAAAATATATAATAACGATAACAATGATAGTAATACTAATAATTCTATTACAATTAATGAAATTCTGTAATAATCTTAGTACTACATAGTAGTACAGTAATAAGTTAAAATGAAATAATTGTATTTGTATTCATGTCTATGATAATAAGAGCCTTTTGTTAAACTTTATCTAATTTAACTTTATTTAACAAATTTCTGTAAAGTTGCATAATATAGTAGATCATTTTTCGAAAAATAAGGCCATAAAGAAGTTTCACTTCTTACGTGTGTACACCTAGTACACGCACACATTTTTGAAGTTATACTTCTTTAGGCGCGTTATAGCGTGCGCGCGCACCGTGTCACGAAATTAACAGAATGAAGTTGCCCACGGAAGATGCTATGGCATTGGACATAATTTAAAAACAACATTCGAATAGAATAATAATAAATATTTATTTAATTTATTTTTCAAATGTAAACTGAACTTTATTGACTATAGTGACTCCTTTTCCAGTCTTTGATTATTTAATTGTAATAATTATTTGCATGCAATAAAAACTATTTTTAATAATGCCAAAGAAGTATAACTTCTTACACGCGTACATAAGTACACGCACCCTTTTTTTACCCGTTTCCCTGTTTTAACCCTGGGCACAAACCGTGCGGACCATAAAAAAGTGAAGGTTTTTTTATTTCATACTGGCAGAAAACCTTTGCCTTTCCCATTAGGGATAAACTAATATTAATATTGACATTTGACAGTCGACAGAGGTCTTCACTCTTCAGTGATCAGTCACCGTCAGTTCATGATTGCTGAATTGTTGATGGTTGTTTTGGTATAGTTTTTCAACTCGTAAAGTTTTTTTAAATTAATTATTCAATTAAATAATTCGATTCTTACACAAATCCTTAATACAATGTCGAATAGTAACTTATTTATGAAGACAGGATTTCTTAGAGCTCCTTTACAAAATGGTGTTGGCCGCTATGTGTGTCAGCTTCAAAGGATAGTGTTTAAATTTTGCAAAAGCCATGGTGGTAGCCGGGGTTTAAGGTAATTATTTACTACTGTCAAAATGAGAATACAAAAGTTTTAGACTATTAATGAAATCCACTTCATTTTTTCCTAACCTATTTATGGTATCACAAACACGACTGAAACGTGTTATGAATCCTAGTTATTTTGGGAGCACATTACCGGGGTTTTGATAAGAAAACATATAATATTGCGTCCTTTCTAACACAATTCATAATTACTTAAGTAGAAATACTATTAATCTAAATGCTAACATCACACTTGTAAGCATGATGTCCATAGATGGCAGTTAGCAATGATGTTCTAAGCAGTCTATTACTAATGGGCCCATTATGTATTTTTAATGTCTATTAGGTCTTGAAATTAATGATCCAAGCACCATCAATCTAAACTTGTTCAAATTTGTCATATATTTATATACAGAGCAGTGTACGAACTACTTATTTCATTGGTGCCCATATTGTGACTTAGTTTACAAGCAGAAAATAGTTCTGCTTTGAAGGCCTTATCTGCTATTTATAAAAATGTATTTTTGATATAGTATTGGATTTTTTTTATATTCCACATATTATATTTTTTTACGAGGGTTGCCCTGTAGAAACTTTCTAGTACAATGGCAATTAGATTTATTTTACCTCCTTTTTTTAAGTATTTTGTCCTTTTTAACAGTGTTAGATAGGTAATAATTCTTTTAAATATTATAAAATAATGCTCAACAAAGAACATTGATTTTCAGAGATTTTATAGAACAAGACTTAGTGGACTTTGCCAAGAATAATCCAAGCATAGTTGTGTATTTGAAGCCTCGTAGACACAGATCACCTGTTATTGTTGGTGAATATTGTGAGTTAATTCTACTTTATTAGATTCTGTAGCTAGCATCCTAGTTGAGTTTAAGATAAAAATTATATAAATATAAGTTTTTATTTTTGACCTTGTTGGAAGACTGGACTATAATAAATAAAATAGGTTAATTTTATTATATTATTATTATTATAGCTTTATTCATTCCAAACTCATTAAGGTACAGAAAAGAAGTAAGAATATTTTATATGTCAGTAATATGTAGTAATCTTAGTCTATGTTAGTATGTGTATAATAATAATAATAATAATAAAGCCTTTATTTCGTTCCATACCATTTACATTACATGCTAATACAACTAAACTAAAAATTTTGTGTTAATGTGGTTAGTAATACAGTATATGTAATATTATTTAGTAATTTAATATTGAAATAAATGTTAGTATTATTAGTACCATATTTTATTTTCCTAGGTATGGATCCCTATCTTGGGTATAGGCCTCCTCTAGCCGCTTCCAGTCCTCTCTGTCCTGACCCCTGATCATCCATTCTTTTCCGGCAACATGGACAATGTCATCGACCCAGCGTTTCTGAGGTCTGCCAACTCTCCTTTTTCCCCTTGGACCTAGCCATTTAGTAGCTGTAAGTGTCCATCTATCATCTTTCAAGCGAGATATATGTCCTGCCCATTTCCATTTTAGCTTCAGTGCATGCTTTAAGGCATCTGTAACTCTAGTTCTTTCTCTTATTGTTTCGTGTCTGATTTTGTGTATCCTTTTTAATTTTAGCATACTGCGCTCCATTGCTCTCTGACATGACCTTACTTTACTTTTGGTTTTGTTATCAAATACCCATGTTTGGCATGCATATGTTAGGCAAGTGTCCATTACAATCTTTTTGTATTCTGAACTGTAATTTCCTTTCAGAATCTCCTTATGTGACCAGTACCTGTTCCAGGTAATGTTTATTCTCCTGCAAATTTCCTTGTCATTGTTGGTGTCAAACGATACCTGCTTCCCTAGATAGATATATGACTCTACATACTCTATTATTTTGTCATTTACTTTTATAGGTTTGTGCAGGCTATTTGACATGATTTAAGTTTTGTTGGGGTTCATACTCAGACCTACTTTTTTACTTTCCACATCCAGGATTTGCAGCATTTTTTCCAGCGCTGATGCAGTTTCACTAAAAACAGCTATGTCATCTGCGAATCTGAGATGTGTTAGGTGCTGATTTATTAACGGTATGCCCCTGCTTCCCCAATCAATATTTTGAAAGACACTTTCTAGGACTGCTATAAATAGTTTTGGGGACAGCGGATCACCCTGTCTTACGCCCCGTCTAATGGGAAACTCTGCACCTTTCGTTTCTAGTTTTATTCTACTTGTGCTTTTAGAATATAGGTCTTTAATGATTTGTATATATCTATCTTCCACTTTATTTTTTTCCAATGTCTGCCATATAGATGTGTGTGTTATGCTGTCGAACGCTTTGGAATAGTCCACAAAAGCTATATAGAGTGGTCTATTGAATTCCTTATATTTCTCTATAAGTTGTTCTAAAGCATGGATGTGGTCCACAGTTGAGAAACCTGAACGAAATCCTGCCTGCTCCATTGGTTGGTTGTTATCAATTGTTGTTGTTATTCGACTAAGTAGGACTGATGAGAATAGCTTATAGATGGTAGGTATCAAACTAATTGGTCTATAGTTACCAATATCCAACGGGTTTCCTTTTTGTATAGTAACACAATGTCTGAGTGGCACCACTGTGTAGGGACATAGCCTTGTTCCAGCACTATGTTAAATAATTTTGTTATGATACTAGTTAGTATTGGTGCTCCGATTTTTATGGCCTCATTAGTTATATAGTCAGGTCCTGGACTTTTGTCAGGTTTTAGTTTGCAAATATATTTATGTACGTCTTGTTCATCAATGGCTTGTAGTATTTCCTCCGAATTCTTGGTGGTTGGGCCAACTGCTCTGTCATCCTGATGTTCGTAGAGGTTTCTATAGAATTCAGTAGCACACTCCATGATTCCTTTTCTAGTTTTCATTTCTCTGTGTCCATTTTCTAGTTTTGTTATCCAATTTTTGTGTGTGTTTAGCTCCTTAAGCCCCCTCTTCGTACTTCGATATTGCTTTAGGTTTTTTTCTAAAATATGTTTTCTGTGGTTTTTATAATCTTTTCTTATGGCTTTATTTGTTGCTTTGAATAAATTCTTAAGTTTGATCTTATCTTCCTTGTTTTTAATTTTTTGTTTGATTAAAATTGAGCGTTCATTTATTAGTTTTTGAGTAGATTTGCTAATTATTTTATTTGTTTTGTGGTCTTTATCTATTTTTAGGCTTTGTTTAATTATTAATTCTAGGGCGTCATAGTAAGTTTGAACATCATTATTATTATATATCTCTTTAAGGCGGGTATTAATATTATCACTTAGGTTCTTCAAATACTCTGATTTTTCATTGTCGGTTTCAAGAGATTTTGGTAACATTACAAATTTCTTTCTTGATAAAGTTGGTGTTGTCAGTATTACAGAGGCTCTGACTAATCGATGGTCAGATGGAAAATCTATTTTATTTATAATTTCCATGTTTATTATGCACTTGGGGTGATTACTCATTATAAAATCTATTTCATTTTTTGTTTGTCCATTAGGCGAAATCCAGGTCCATCTACGACTAAGTTTTTTCTTAAAGTAAGTGTTCATTATACAGAGCTTGTGTTCAAAGGCATATTGGATTAGTCTTTCACCTCTCTGGTTACGCTTGCCATAACCATAATTGCCTAGTATAAGTTTTTCTTTATGTTTGGGTTGACCAATCTTAGCATTGAAATCTCCTAAAATCAATACATTTTTGTCAGGTGTTTCATGGGCTTTTTCAAGTTCTTCATAGAATTTATTGATTTCAATTTCATCTGCTTCTTCGGTTGGTGCGTAGACTTGGATGAGTGATATGCAGTGTTCTCCAAATTTCATGCGCAGCAGGGCTACCCGTTCAGATATACCAGTGAACTCGATAATATTGGCTTTGTGTTTTCGACTGATAAGAAACCCAACTCCATATAATCCAGGTGTGTTTCCCATGTAACAGAGGATGTGTTCATGATGTTCTTCTATATTAGATCCCATTTTTCTGACTTCTGCTAATCCTAATACATATATTTGAATATTTTTCAATGAGTGCACAAGTTCTATCAATTTTTCTGTTGATGCTAAAGTTCTCACGTTGTAAGTTCCAATTTTCAACACTCTTGTTTGTTGCTAGAGGGTTTTGGTCTGATTCCCCACGGGGACCAGCCGGATTGGGGAATGTTTTTCTAAATGTTTTACTTATATTTTTATGTTCTTTGTTTATCCGGCTGTCGAGTTCCTATGTTTGTTTTGATGTGAGGGTAGGGGTGGTGAGAGAGTTACTTCTTCCTCGCATCATGTCAAAGGCGTTTGACCTGCTTGCTTTTGTTGTTGCTGTGGGTTGCAAATTGCTCTTTTGGGCGTATTTTGGTGGTGAAATTGACATAGAACGCTCGCGTTTGCGTTTCTCTTTTGTTTGTATGCTATCCCGTATGATGAGTTTGTCATATTTCAATACTGCATACTTTCCCTTCTGTCTTTCTTCTATCAACTGTTGTTGGAGTTCCCTCCTTTAGTTAGTACATTTTTAGGATAGTCTTCATTTAAATAGATTCCGGGCAGCTTTTTCTTATTTCTCATGATTTGTTCTTTTTTCCAAGCATGTAAAAGAGAGATGATAACAGGTCTTGGTTTTTCGTTATCTACCCCCTTTTTTCCTAGGCGGTATATATTATTGATGTCGTTATGGCCGATATCTATATTTATTTTTGATCGAATCATTTCAGTGACTATTTCTATTAGATTTTGTTTTGAAATCTCTTCCTCTTTAAATCCAAAGGCTATAATATTATTTTTACGGTTTTCGCGCTCTAAATTATCAATTTTCTCACGTAGGTTCTTGTTTTCGGATTTCAAGTCTGTTATTGCTTTTACTAAAGGGTTTAGTTTCTCCTCCATTTTTTGCATAATTAAATTCGATTGTTTTTGCATTTCTATCTTCATGTCATCAAAAAGTGCTATAAGATTATGATCCATTCTTTACGATCACGAATCGGAACTTAGTCGTTGGTAGCTTGTACTTTTTAATTATGGCAACAATTTGGTATATATCAATAGTGTCACTTTAACTAATATTGATTGTCAAAGTATTATGTCGGCTCAAATAACCTTCAAAGTTTCACGAGTTTAACACAAGATCTTAATGTTTAATGCGTCACTTCACACAATGTTTTATATTTAAAAGAAATGCCACTATTACTTTTAACCTATTTTGTGATAGTACACTACGTTTTTCCTAGTTTTTCTGTATTTTTGTTGAGTTTTCGTCTGGAGCGACTACTATTACGTGTGCGTGTTTTGACAGCCGGAAACGAACTCATTCACACTCACACAACTATTAGTATGTGTAACATTAGTATATTCAAAGTTTGGATCCCATCTGGGTAAAAGCCTCCTCCATTTTTTTCCATTTTATTCTATTTGTAGCTGTAGTTATCCAGTTTCGGCCTGCTACTTGACTATGTCATCCACCCACCTTTTTTTGGGTCGACCTATGTTTCTCTTACCAAGTGGACCAGTCCATTTTGTAGTTTGTACAGTCCATCTTTTGTCGATGTATCGAGAGATATGTCCTGCCCATTGCCATTTCATTCTTAAGGCGTGCCTAAGAGCATCGGTTAATTTAGTTTGTTGGCGTATGTCTTTGTTCTTTATCTTTTGTATCTTCTTAATTTTCAGTATGCTCCTTTCCATAGCATGTTGTGTCGTAAGCAATCGGTTTCTCACTTTGTTAGTGAATACCCATGTTTGGCTTGCAAATGTTAGACAAGGTAAAATACATGTGTCCATTACTGTTCTCTTTACTTTTAAGTTATGAGTATTTCTTTATGAGACCAGAAACTTTTCCGAGAGTTTTTGATTCTTCGTTCTACCTCATCGTTGTTGCTGTTTGGTTCAAATGATATCAATTTACCTAGATATATGTAGTCTTTAACATATTCAATGCAGACTCCGTCTATTTGAATTGGCTTCCTACTGCTATTTGTTATTATTTTTGTTTTTGTAGCGTTCATATACAGCCCTACTTTTTTGCTTTCCTTGTTCAGGTTTTGCATCATTTGTTCCAGTTCCTGTGCTGATTTAGCAAAAACAGCTATGTCATCTGCAAACCTTCAGTGACTCAAATGTTTTTCATGAATCCAAATTCCCTTTTAACTCCAGTGTAATTTTTGGAATACAGTTTCTAAGACTGCTTTAAACAATTTGGGTGACAGTGGATCTCCTTGTCTTACGCCTCTGTTGATGGTTATATTTTCTCCTGTTTTTTCGAGTTTTACTCTGCTTGTGTTCCTAGAGTAAATATCTTTAATTATGTTAATGTAGCTTGTGTCTATGTCACAAGCCTGTAAAGCTTTCCATATAGAGCTGTGGGTGATGGTGTCAAATGCTTTTTGGTAATCTACAAACCCAATATAGAGAGGTTGATTAAATTCTTTGAATTTTTCTAGGAGTTGTTCACTGGTATGTATGTGATCTATTGTGGAAAAGCTAGAGCGGAAGCCTGCCTGTTCTATTGATTGTCTCTGATTTATTTTTTCTGTTATTCTATACTCAATTTCGGTTTTTCTATTATCAAGGAGGCTCGAACAAGTCTATGGTCTGATGAGAAGTTTAGATTATTCACAATTTCCAGGTTGATAATATTTCTCGGTTTATTGCTCATAATAAAATCTATCTCATTTTTGGTTTTGCCATCTGGTGAACACCATGTCCATTTTCGATTTTCTTTTTTTCTGATAGTTTGTTTTCGTAAGCATATTGTAATAGTCTTTCTCCTCTTTGATTTCTATTACCGTATCCATATTGTTCCAATATCAAGTGTTCATTATCTTTTGGTTGTCCAATTTTAGCATTAAAATCACCTAACACTAGCACATTTCTATCTGCAAAGGCATGAGCCCTGCTTAGGTCATCATAGAATCTTTCGATTTCTTCATCATCGGATTGCGCTGTGGGAGCATATACTTGTATGAGTGATATAGCTTCTTTTTTGAGTTGTAATTGAAGTAGAGCTTTCGGATAATACGGAAAAGTTAACTATCGAGTCTCGTAGTTCTTTCTTTATTAAAAAGCCTACTCCATTGAGGCCTTTTGTTTCACCTTTAAAACAGAATATATATTTATCGTGTTCTTCTATCTCGCATCAAATTTTTCTTACTTCTGCTAGTCCTAAAATATCGTAGTTTACTTTTAAAAGGGCTTGTGTCAGTTCCAGAAGGCGTGTAGGTGATGCTAGTGATCTTACGTTATTAGTACAGATCTTTAAAATGTTAAGATCTTTAGACTTTAGATCTTCTAAATGTTTTGGTTATCTCTACTATGTAGGCGATTGGATTCATCGATTTTATCTTCATTTGGAGGGTAGTGGTCTCTTACCCCACGGTGACCAGCCGGGTTGGGGAGAATTTTATCATAAACTAATAAAAGTATCACCATATAAAATAAAAATATAATATTTTTAGTAATGCCAGTTGATTAGGTTGGGAAATTAGGTGCATTGTCTCATGTTTTATGTTTTGTTTGTATTTTTGTTCAATTAGCTGTCACTCCATGATAGTATGCACAGTGCACAACTGTTGCTGGTGACTTGTTGCTCAGAGCAGAGATGAGCCCATTTTTTATTAATAGTATTTCTGGCTATGCTCTAACCATTCTTGGTTCTTATTTAATTACAAATAACTCAATGTTTTTTTAGTAAATGGAGACAGAGTGTGGATGTCCGTTAACCAAAGAACTCATTCGGAAATTACAAAATGGATAGAAAATCTCCGAACCCAACAAGGCAATGTGTCAGACATACGTCTTCGTAAATATCAGTACACCGATCACCCTTCGATACAAGGGCCATGGACGCCATTTACATTCAAAAACCCAGAATTGAATCTTGCAGAATTGCCCAATGTGAAATTTGGTGAAAATAATCGTTTGCCTATTTCCGCTACTGAACAGTTGAGATTGATGTTTGAAAAACAAAAGTTGAGCGATGTTCAAACTGCAGAATAGATGCCTGAAGATTAGTAACTCCGTGAATCTTAGTTTATTGCGTACCCTGTGTTAACTCAAAATTGTGCTTCACTTTGACAAGTACTTGATAGATTTTTAATAAAATAACACAATGAATGGGCTATTTGACAGTAAATTTATATAAAATATTCTGAATTTTTAACAGTTAATGAGCATAATTATTTGTATACCCTGGTGCTTTATTATGAACCGAGAAAGTAATTACTGTTAATAACAGATAGGTATGTGGCATTAAAAAGTGAGTTAACTTCAATGTAGTTCTGGAACTGTTATAAAAAGCCATTATAGAATACAAAATAACTGAAATTGGATATACAGTCAAAACCGTTTATAACGACATCGTTTACAACGACCTATCGGTTATTACAACCAGATTGTATGGTCCCGTCCGAATCCCTAGTAAACTATTCAGTAAAGAAACCGCTTATAACAACATCGGATACAGCGACATATCGCTTACAACGACGAAAGTTTATCGATATTCATCGGATATAACGACCAACCGCTTCTTGTCTCAGTAAAACAAAACAATACAAACGATTTTAAATTTTATTTATAAGCATTGAATGAATATTTAGGCATATTATTACCTACGCACTTTCTCCCAACGAACAGTTTCAGCCAACAACGATTTCCGAGGCTCTTAACGCTGTAACGATTTTGCAAAAATTTGTTGCCTTTAACGAACAGTTTGATACTGGTGATACTCATACCTTGAGGAGTATGAAACGTAAAATGCAAAAAATATTTGAGACTGGGCTAAAAAAAACAGACTGACTGATTACTTTTGTACCTAATTATTTCGTAATTGTAAATATTTTTGTTTCTTTTTTGACTCGTTTACATATTATAATATTAACATACCATATTATAACCCATACCTACCTATTCTAGATCGATAACTATGTACATACATATGTACTGTACTTGTGTACATGACATTGCTTATAACGACTATCGGATATAACGTCGGCAACTATACGGTCCCTTCAATGTCGTTATAACCGGTTTTGACTGTAAATATAAAATAATGCATTCTCTACCTAGTTCCACATGCATTAGACGCATCTGTGTAATATATTTGAAAGATGTTCATCTGGATATTATTTGGTCGGTTTAAAAGTCAAGCAGCTTCCATGTCTATTCCAATATATTATAGAATTTGCATTATTCAAGTCTTCATTCTGATACTTGTCAAATTTTCAGAGCTTTCGGCTCAGTAGTAATTTGTGAGAATAGTGCTGGTAGAACACCCAAAATAGTTATTTTGTTTCATTAACACTGCAATTGCTATATGTGAATCGGCTTACAGAATTATTGATAGGATGTATGATAGACAATAGTTAATATAGAATTGAAATGTAGATATAGTAATAAAGAATTATTAAGTTGTAGCTGTGTTTAATTTGATGATATAAGTAATCGTAACGTATTTATGTCCTTTTGTAAAACGTTACGATGCGGGGCGGGGATTAAATTACGCGCTATTTTTAATATTTTAGACTTACACCACATAATAGTAATTAAAGAGTCACTAGGTGGTCACGAAACGTTTTACTATACTTGGGGACAGTACCTGGGGTACTGAAAAACGTTACGGTTAGTTACATGGGGGGAGTCAATAATCTCCAAAAATTGCGTTACGTAATACTTGAACGCTCCCTTGTCTATATAATAAAAATGATGAAAAAAAAGGCTTAGGCTTTGACCCATATAGGTTATAGCGTCGCTGCATTATTTTTCTTATACTATATAAAATTCTAGTGTCAAAATGTTCGTTCCCATACTCCACCGAAACGGCTCGACCGATTCTTATGAAATTTCTGAATTAACTGAGAATCGGACATCTATTTTTCATCCCCTAAATGTTAAGGGTGGTCCTTTAATTTTACCCTTAATTGTCACCCCTCTACGACCAACGCCTATTTTTGAAGTTGTACTTCTTTAGGCGCGTTATGAAAAATTGATGAGAGTAAAATTTTACGATTGCGCGCGCACCTATGACACAAAATTGGCAGTGTGATATAGCGTGCGCGAGCGAGATGGGAATAAGACAAACTACAAGTAAAAAGAAATAGAATATGCGTGAAGCTAACTTCACGCATATTCTAGCTTAGCAGCTTAACAAGAATTTTGAATGACCATGACAATTGACATCTGACAATGACATTTACCTTTTAAACAAATATAGGAGTTTTAATTATTGTTTAAAATTAATAATTATATACCTAGTTATTTTCATTATACAAAATATTTGTGAAATAATATAAAATATTTGTGAAAAAACTGTGCTAACCTTCCTGAGTGCTTCAATACAATTGAGGTTAACTATCCGTATGTATTATCGAGTATTATTGTTGATTAAAACTGAAACATGAACCATTATTAATTGCTTTTGTTTATTGCGTTTGTTACAGCAACTTTTTAGAAATATTCTACGACCCTATATATCAATAATTGAGAACAAAGATTTAAGCACGAATACTAATAAGGAGAAAATGAAGGCTTGGAGCGATATAACAGAGAAGTAAACATTTTAATAAGTACCTGCATCTCAAAAAAAATGACCACATTATTTAATCAAAACATCAGATTTAATCTAGCAAATATAAGGACAAGAGACAAAAAACAATTGATGAATCAGTGGAAGTGCACTAAATTGAATACAAAAAAGAGTTGTCATCTTATCGCCGTGAAACATCAAAAACTGGAGGTGGAACAAAGCCACCATCACCTTCTCGAGACACAATGGTTTGAAGTAGATTTCAATGAATTTGATTGTGATGGTGTCGAGGTAGGAATGTTAATTATAAATATGATGTATGGTGATGTTCAAGGTTCAACCTTTCAAGCATAGGCATATGCTTACAACATTACTTTATTCCCCTACAGGGTAGTTAGAGATATTGTAATACCTCAAAACATCCATGTTGCACTTGTAGTACCGAAACTCTGTCCTGCCAGAAGTGAGCCCATTCCCACTTATAATGGACAGTGGGTATAATACACCTTAATACCTGAGTGCGAACCACTCAGCATGATACTTAAATTAATAGATGTTATTTATATATTTCAGGATATTACAAATAAAATCATTTTGGAAACAATTGATATCCCAAAAGCAAATAAAGCCAACAATGACAAGGTAATAAATCAGTTTTGACATAACTTGAATACTAAAAAAGCCAAACAAAGGTGTGCACAACAGTGACAACATAACTTAACAATTTCATTATTTTGTAGGATTAAAGAAAGGTTAAAGAAAATCATGTTGAACTGAACAACAAGAATCCCCAAACAACTCCAAAGAAACCTACAAGGAAGACACCGGTATTATATTTAAATTATCTCTATCTCTAAATAGAATAAAAGAAAGTTGCTATCCAGGTCTGTAGCATGTGCTACAAATTATATTATTAACACATTTATATAATTATATTAATATAAATGTGTTAAAAATTTATAATATGAATTATAAAAAATTTTAAGTTTTGCATGGACAGAGCTTAAATTAATATTCTCTTATTTGTTGCAGAAAGCAAGTAGTTTTGGAGAAGCCTCGTAGATGCACAACCAAGTAATGATTAATTTAAAATTACAAACCGAAATTCTGATGAAGACATTAGAGTCACTTAATAATAAATAGTATAATGAAATAAAAATGTTTTAAAGATAAATAGTGTTTTATTTGTTTAATGTAAGAGAATAATAATAAATATTTATTTAATTAATTTTTCAAATGTAAACTGAACTTTATTGACTTTAATGACTCCTTTTCCAGTCTTTGATTATTTAATTGTAATTAATTATTTGCATGCAATCAAAAACTATTTTTAATAATGCCAAAGAAGTATAACTTCTTACGCGCGTACATAAGTACACGCACCCTTTTTATTATAGTAGATACATAGTTTTTATTAAACTAAAAAAATGTTTCCTAGAAATAATATACATACATAGCAAAACAACGTTTGCCGGGGCAGCTAGTAATTACATATTATAATTATCTATGAAATATATAATTGTACTGTTCGTGTGTATGTCACTCTTAAACGGCTGGACCGATGTGTATGAATGTTTTGTATGCGTTTGGGTGGCGCCCTGGATGATTTAGATTCATAAATCAGCCCGGCAGATGGCGCTGCAGGCGGTACTTTCATATTTTGTTAAATATCCTAATCACATAAAACATCATGCAGGACAATGTCTGTCGGGTCCGCTAGTTATTAAATTTTATTTTTATGCATTAGTAATACAAACAAATGTTGAACTAAAACACTTTCTGAAGAAAGCTAATAAACGAAAAAAATCACTGGTAAATTGTCGAATCGAATTTTAAATGATAAAAATAATATACGATGTTTACGGACAATAGGTATATTTTAGACTTAGAGCGAACACCATATTGTTCAACGAGAATTTTTTATTTAAAACGTTAAGTTTCATTAATATTTGCGTATTCTGTTGTCGCAAATATATTCAGTTAAACTTTTAAAAATATGCTTGTTTTCATGTGTCTCTATCCTTTAACATTATTTTGTTCTTTTTAAATTTGAAATGTGGGCGCCTCTATCACACTCGAAGTGGACGAGGGCCCAGCTCGGGTCTGTGCCATTCGAACATTTAAATTGAATTATTATTATTTTTTTCAATTTGAAAAACACAAGTTTACAAGATTTAAACTATAAATCGTTTGCAACATTTTATTTTCACGTTTCATATGATTTTTTAAAGTATTTTTAGCCATTTTCCTGACTGTACGATAATTTATCGGCCCTGGTACGATAACTGCCTGGCTTCAGGTTGTGAACACTGCACCCAGGGTTGTAACGTTACCGGATATGCCATACAAAAAAAAAACAACATATTCAAACAACAATTTCCAACACTTTAATAGTATAATATAAACAAATACATGTCGGATACAATAGCACTAAATTATCGCTACGTTTGACATTTGTCAAAGCTTGAGTAAAAATATCAGCTGATCTGAGCAACGCGTCAACACAGTTTTGAAAAGTAGAATTTAATTAAATTTTGACAACTTTATTGCGTTCTATTCCAATAGCACGAATTTTACGATAGGTTAATTATATAATAATATTAGTTTTAATTAGTTGGAATATGAACGCTGCTCAAGTTTCCCGTGCAAATACCTATCTATAAGGAGTTATTATATTAAAATTTACATATTATTCGTGCAACAGGACATTTATAATTTACGATATTGTACAAATAGTGGATGTCAAGTGTGACAAGAGGTGGGAATCTTGCAAATACGTAACATTTATGTTTATTATTCAAATAATGTGCTTTTAAAAAATAATGCTTTGAGCTTTTTCGTGGAATAAAAAAAAAGTTTTTGAACTCATTTGAAATTTTTACTTCCAGTTTTGGAGTTATATTTTTTTATTTATCAAATTTTATTTTGTAGTCCAAAAGGAAAAAGAAAAAACTGTACGAATTGCAAAACGTGATATTTTGTTTCCTATTAGAAAATCTACTGCAAAAAGTCGGAATTTCAATTAGCATTTATTTTTAAAGGCCCATAACTTGACAAATAAACATCATATTTTTTTTAACGTATTTGCGTTCATACCAACTAGAGGTATGATTATCCCGAACAAATACCTCTTCGGATTTTTTTTCGATATAATGAACGTAATAAAATGTTGCTTTAATTATTATATACAAGATAACTTTTTAACTATAATTCACCTAAACCTAGTCATTTTTCCTCTTACTAATTTTTGACGCACTAAACATTTTCCTAATAACACTATATATTATATACAATATAACACATATAAACAACAATTGGTCCAACATTAAATATTCGTACCACTGATATTGTTTGATAACTGATCGGAGATGAAGCGCACCTGAAAATAATTAAATATATATTACACGTAGTGTAAATTAAAAAAAAAAGAAAGCCTGTGTTGCCAGCAAGCTTACATAAAAATAGAAATTTCGAATAGAATTGTATTACAGTTATGAGGAGAAAAACCACGCGATACTCTAACGGTAAATGAAAACATTGTGAGAAAATCAGCATGTCTCAGACACAAATATCAATGTGATGAGGCACAGAAGAATCAGCAATAAAAAAATTGAATCCCTCTTGTCAGCAAAAGTAATAGTACATAAACGTATAAATTTTTTGTAGGAATCCCCGAAAATTCTTTTCGTTTTCAAGCATAGACAACGTGTGGGTAACATGTGTAAAAAAGTATACAAGTACTGTTGACGTAATCAACAAATAAGAAAATCAACGAACCCCTAAAGTGCTTACGTAACACTTGAACGGCCTCTTCCCTAGAAAAAATTAAAAAAGCCAATTCTTTCCGCAAAGGCCCGTAACCCTCCCACTAAATTAGATATTCATAGTCTGCAGTAATTTCCCTATTACAGTTACGTAGGCGGCAAACGATTAAAAAAAAATCTATGACGCTACAACCTATATAGGTCTTGGCCTCAGGTTTCTGAATCTGTTTCATGATCATTTTTAAATCTAGGCAAGTAGGTGATCAGCCTCCAGTGCCAAACGCCATCGACTTTTTGGGTCTAAGACATGTCGGTTTCCTCACGATGTTTTCCTTCACCGTTCGAGCAAATGTTAAATGCGCACATCGAAAGTTCATTGGTGCACAGCCGGGGATCGAACCTACGACCTCAGGTATGAGAGTTGCACGCTGAAGCCACTAGGCCAACACGGCTCAAAACGATTTTTTACAATATATAAAAAACATTTCGTTACCTTTAGTTTCGATTGCCATTTCTACATAATGTGTAATTAGATCTGAAGGCTTGTTCAGACGATTTCTGAATAATTTCGATATTTCCTTGGCTTTCTTGTAGTAGCTGAAAAAAAAAGTAATTGAGTCAAGAATTAAGAATGCTATATGAGTGTTATCTATCTATGAAGTCTAGTATCAAACTCAAAATAACTTTATTCATATAGGTGACCAAGTACACTTATGAACGTCAACAGAAAATATGTGAAATTAATTCTAAATTTATATTTACTACGAGTTCGCAAGTCAAGGGCGTAGAGCGGGCAATAAACTCCCCACCACTCTTTGTAATTAAAGTTTTGAGTCATACAAATTGTTTGAACTGGAGCAAATCAATCCCAAGGATTAGGATCATTTAAGTATTCCTCAAATTTATAAAAAGCTTTATTGATTAATTTACGTTTAACGAGAGTTTTGAATTTATTCAGTTATAGGACTATCTTGTGAACCTATCATTTATTATTCATTTTATTACTTTCATAAAATAAATGCAAAGTACACATGTCACAAGTGAAACTTCTTTGTAAATTAATTATTATTAAGGTAAAAGCCCCAATAGGTGAATCAAGAACCAGTATATGATCACTCCATGTATTTGTATTTCTATACTCACACCGTTAACGTGCTAATGATAATATAAATAAATAAAAAATCTGCGTTTACTGCACGTTACGACAGACGTTATGCGACAGAATTGCCATCTAAAGTTCTAATATGTAACTACTAAACGAATACATCAACCAATAGCGTGTATTTTTACTGTCTCTCAATATATCTCATTACAGCTTTCGTCCACCTCCCGCTCCATGGCTATTTGCTTCATTCTACGTTCGCCGTTTCTCTCTCTCTCAATCGGTCTCAATCGCTCTCTCCATTTACTTCCACAAAAACGCTGCACGTCTTCGTGACGCTTATATTATTATTTTTGCGTTTCATCCGTAAACATTTTACCTTCATGCGCCTAAAGTTTCACTTAAAAATACGATATCTATGCACCGTGTGTATCAATCAATCAACAGTCCATCATCATACAGATAGAATGTGGGTATGCTAAAAAATGGTCTACCCAATCACATATTAGATTGCCTAACGCCAACCAATATAAACAGCAAATTAAAAAACTACTTTTATATGCATTTTTCGCGCTCCTAAACAAGACTGTTATGGTAACATCAATATAAACCACAGCGGTTTGCTAATGTAACTTATTATGATTGTATTATATTTTTGTGTAAAATAAAGAAATAAATTGATATAAAAAAAAATGTAATTGTGTGTTTAAAGGTGGGAACTGACCAACGTTACGAGGTGTAATGTAACATGTACAGCAACGAGCCGCTCGTTGCTCGCTTTGAGTGCTCCACCCGGCTGTCGGGTTTTTGGCGAATCCTTTGACTGTTACGCGGTTCAGTAATTACGCGTCGCACGTCGCGAGTGATCATGATTATGATTTTCTATAAATTGTGTCTTTTTTAAGTACTTTGGTCCAATTAAATTCAACAGTTCTTCAAAATCGAGACCTGCGTACAAAGTTTTTATGCTGTCCAGTAATCATTTGGTTTTTAATATTGCAATTAATAACAAACCACCTCATACGCCTGTGTTTTTAAATAAGTTTTATGTCCAGTAACATTTTTTCTTCTTCTTAATTTGGATGAAACAATAATTAAATAGAATGAAAGATATCAACATTATCACTATCACATCTCGTGAACACTTTCGGCGAAAGTGGAGCACAGAGTTTTGACGAGCATGTTACGCCGATTTTAAAACACAGCGTAATATGCTCGATGCGTAACACGCTCGATGCGAATGCTACATTACACCTCGTAACTTTGGTCAGTTCCCACCTTAATGTTTTCAATTAATGAAACTAACCTGTCATTCCTGAGCATTTCCTCCAACGCAACCTTTACCTCCGGCGCCATTTCCGGTGAATATTTCACCCGTAACGCGTGCCCCGCTTCGACACTTCTTGCAGCATTATGCGGTTGATCGGCGAACACTGGTATTGCTAATATTGGGACACCATAGTGTAATGACTCCATTGTGCTCAATAATCCACCGTGAGTGATGAAGATCTTCACGTTTGGATGAGCTGTAAGAAAGAAAGTGAACAACGTGAATTTATCACCGATTTTGATGATGATGCGTCCTAGATTAACGACAAAACTAAAAAATAAATAAATCAGTGGCGCTACAACCTCTTTAGGTCTTGGCCTCAGATTTCTGATCATTATGATCATTTTAAAATCTAATAAGCAAGTAGGTGATCAGCCTTGACACATGCCATCGACTTTTTGGGTCTAAGACATGTCGGTTTCCTCACGATGTTTTCCTTCACCGTTCGAGCAAATATTAAATGCGCACATAGAAACAATTGGTGCACAGCCAGGGATCGAACCTACGACCTCAGGTATGAGAGTCGCACGCTGAAGCCACTGCCAACACTGCTCTTACGACAAAACTAGATTCATTAATATTGAAATTATTGTACTCAAAAACACTACGTACTGGTACAAAATGAATTTTTGAAGTTATACTTCTTTTGGCGCGTTAAATTTTTACGATGCGCGCGCACACCGTCACAAAATCTGTGACCCTGAAGTTAGTTAAAGTCAACATTTTATTTTGTGATGTATAAATATACTTTATTTAACTAGATAATGCGTTATAATAAAACTTTGAATGTATTAAATACCTTTTATCTTTTGTTAGTTTAGTTTTATTCTACAAACATAGAATAAATTTTTTGAAAAGAGTTTTATCTTGTTACGCCGAAGAAGTATAACTTCTAACGCGTGTATATAAGCACACACACGTTTTTTTATATACTAAACAATATAAGTATGTTACTTACATACTACCATTATATAGAGTCAAAATTCATGAGTCTATAGGCGTTAATCGTTCATAAAAACATAAATATTTATAAGTCAACGGGAATAGACATCTGTCGAAGTGGACATGGGGAGAAATTGGCTATGCCAAAAATTAATCTGGAATTGTATAGGGACAACTTTTGTATGGAAATCAAGTTATATTATAATTTACCAAAAACATTAAAAGATCGTCCTACTAGAGTTTTTAAATAAGTTTGGAAAATCCAAAAGTGCACGCCTCATAGCGGTCATTCACATTTAAAAAAAAAAACATTCGTTTACATTTTTTTTTTACTTCTTGTGTAGAAATAATCTTACTACTTACTTAATATAATAAAAAACTATATAGTGGCGCCATAACTCTAAGGTGAGGAAAAAATATACTAAAATAAATGTATATATATAGATATACTATTTGTATATACAGTCGTATTTTAGTTTTTTACAAATTATAATTAAACGACAGTACTAAGAACGCTAATATTAACTAAGAATCAGCCCAGGGTATAACTTTATATAATAAGAAAAAAGTATTCTGGTACGATAAATTTTTCGACCAATTTCTCTGCCACACATGGATCCATAAACGTAGACTGACGGACGTCCAAGAATGATTAATTTTAATGTTATTATTTACTATGTTAAACAAATTAATAAAAAATACCATATGTGCTTGATAGATTATATAACTCGATTTTAGTACACTCATATTATCCTGTAAGTGTTATATTAGTGAGAAAGAAGTCATTCAAGTTTCGAAAGACTGGGTTTTTTGACATGTCGAGAGTAGAGCACTGCGAGGCGTGCAAAATCGACTTAAGGCGGAAACATACTACTAAAACGCGACGCTACACCACGCCATCCGACGCATGTCAGTACTTATCAATCCCATATATTTAATATGTTCAGGTGCACATATACAACACGCCATGTGATCACACGCGGTAACATCCAATCGATTTGGATCAGCGTGGTTGTCGTGTTGTTGACGTCAAGCGTCAAATGTTCGAGTTTTTGGCACAAATGTCAATTTATATACTTACATATTTTTGGATTTATTTATTTGGCGAAATGAACGACCAAAAATTAACTGAGTTGGTGAAACAATATTCTGTTCTATATGACATGAGATTAGCTCAATACAGCGACGATAATGTGAGAAATAATGCATGGGAAGAAATAGCCGAACAAATGAATACAAGCAGAAAGTTTTATTAAAATATTATATTACAAGACTTTTGTATGAGTTGCAAGTTAATTTTGTCTACCTTTCCTCACAATATCAAGCTGCCACGGAACGGCGCCTTCACCACCAAAATATTCCTTAAATTTGTTTCTTACTGAAAATGCATACTGTGTGGAATTTCTACGAATTGGATTTAAGTCGTGGTGTCGCGTGTTGGTAATGTGCACGATTGACATCGGGTGTCGACACGTTGCGTCGCGTGGTGTTTTAGCAGTATGTTTCCACCTTTAATGTACTACTCTATCAATAATTATTTGCGTGAAACATTATTATTAATATTAATTGTATAACGTAATAATATATTTTAACTAGCTGCCCCGCCAAACGTTTGTTTTGCCATGTAAGTATATTATTTCTAGGAAACAATTTTTAGTTCAATAAAAATAACTACCTATCTAAAATAAAAAATAGGGATTGATCATAGAGCGATGGAAATGAGGGGTTGCATGTATTTTTGTATGTTGTATCATAAAAAAATAAAAACAAAGAAATATGACTAAAAAAAGTGTGTGTGTGTCAGCTACGACGCACGATTGGAGTTTAATCTCACGAACTTTAATTTAACGAACGATAAAATGGCGATAACAGAACATTATCTATCTATGGCTGTCGACCATATTTTCATACAAAAGGTGGTAAGAATATATGTTTTTATAATATAAATGTTTGTAGTAGTAATAAAACGTACCTACATCATCTATGCCCAAATAGGATTTTCTTTCTGTGACCAAAGTTACCTTTATAGTAAGAGAAGAATAAGAATGAACAATCTTTCTTAGTTTTAATTTCACTGGCCATTACAATTGACAAAACTCTATGGCACGCTAGACAATCTACTTTTATTTTTTACACCTGTCAACACTGACAATGTTGTAACGTGGCTGTCAAAACGTGAATTCAAAATAGAAAAGTCTGTGTAATGTATTCCATCTCATTCTTTTACACGTTCAATCCATTTATCTCTTTCTACATAACGCCTCAACTTTTCGTGTTACACTTGATTTTACTCCTCATAAAATTTCCGTACCGGGCCTTATAACTCAAATCGTTTCTTAAGGAGTAAACTCCAAAAATAAAATAAAAATTTGGGGTGGACACCCCTTATCATTTAGGTTGAAAAATAGATAGTAGCCGATTCTCAGACTTACTGAATATGCCATAAAAATTTCATATAGTGTATTGGAACGAATATATTAGATAATGTGGTATTTTATCACTACAAATAATATAAGAAATGACTATAATTTTATGTATCATAATGTATGTAACTTCTAAGTAAAATTCAGTGCTCAGTCCGAGACTTAATGCCTCTTGTCATATAAAAATATAGTTTAAAAAAACTAAAAAACACGCTTTTAAAGCACATCTCTGTGCCATATTTTTCGTCTATCGAGCAAACGTCTATTTTCACAATAATACCAGTATTTTTTGTTCATTACCATTTTCAGCCTAAATTAGGAATTATTTTTCACTTTTTAGTTTGATGTGCTTTAAAAGCGTGTTTTTTAGTTTTTTTAAACTATATTTATTTTCCACTTTTTAGTCCTAGCAGCAATACGTGTTGTCTTAATTTAATCGTATTGCTTTGTGGACTTCAAAAAAAATTCATTGTTTTTTCGAGATAAACCTATGAAATTATTATATTGTCGCTGATTATTTATAAGTGTACAAAGTTTGAATTAAATCTGTGCCTTTAATGTGGGTCAAAATCGAGTCCGAAGGAGTCGGTTACATACATACATACAGGTGAAGCTAATATAAAGCGTGTAAAAATAAAGAAACTGTGAAGAACTATGGCTAAATTCTCACCAAGTATACTAGACTGTGGCATCCAAGGCCTTACATGAACATTCTTTGGCAGACCATCAATTTTCTCGTCGAACTTCCATAAAACGGTTTGTTTGAGATTTCCGAAGACTTGGAGGAGTTCTGTTTTGGTATTCCCTTTAAATGCAGATGCCTTCAGCACGGAACCCATGCTGAAGTAGATTACGCCTTGGGGTGATGCATCCAATATTTGTTTGAGATCCTGAAATTCGATATAAGCAAATAAACAATTAATCGGGCTACAAGCTTTGAGGCTCCAGATTTCTGAAGCTGGTTCGTGATAAATTTTTTTGAAGTGAAACTTCTTTATCGGGGTTGGAAAAAAATTTAGTGTAACATTTGCGTTACGCGTCACATTTTTCCGTTACGCGCCATGTTACTTTTTGAAGTCAAACTTCTTTATCGGCGTTAAAATATGGCATATAGTATGTTTTTGACTTTGAAGTTTGACAACGGATTACATTTTCGACTTGAAATTTGCTAATCGCAATTTGCAGCAATTAATTTGTAAATTGTATGCTACGGAGTGTATCAAAATTTACTGTGTTTAAAGAAATAGTTTCTAATAAGGTCATAAAGAAGTTTCACTTCTTACGTGTGTACACCTAGTACACGCACACATTTTTTCTAATTAGCAAGTAGGTGTAAGTATTACCTAAGCAGATTTACTGCAATGTATCCCCCCCCAATGGTCGGCAAAAGTAAGTCCTAGCGCTATAAGGCTTTTTAAGGAAATAGCGAAAAGGTTAGTCGACATCACAGGAGACCGAAGAGCTGGCAGCTACCTCGGACAAAGAATTAGTCTAGCTATTCAAAGGGGGAATGCTGCCAGTATATTCGGAACCAAAGAGACTTCTTTTAATAATATATTTTAGTTTATATATTATATTTTTAAGATTATTAAGTATTACTTTTATATTCTGTGATTTGGTAGTTGTATATTAAGTCGTAAGTTAAATTAATATTTTGATAGTAGACAATATTATTCCATACCGAAACAATATCTAAAACATTCAGTAGCAAACACTAAAGCATGTTTGTCTCTTTCGTCGAACGCAATTGTGCCGTAGATAGAATGAGACACATTTATATTATCATCTCGCGCTTCTCCATAGATATGTATTGACAACAATTTTACGAAAATCTAGGATTCCCTGTATGGCGTGTTAATACGTAAGTCCTTCCTTCAACACATGAGGCGGATAAATGTTTGGCAATAAACGATTTAATCTTATCTGGAACGGAATTAAATAGTAACAAATATTACGAATGAAATATTTATATCTATAATCAAATATTTATGGTATTTACAAGGTAATTTATAAGGTAATTACACATTTCTGGATAATTTTTCTTAGCTTAGAAACATTGGAACCGAAAATAAAAAATAACAAAAATAAATACGCGTTTGACGTATAATCCGACTTACGAAATATGGTTGACGGATATTCGGGAACTACATAATAAGCAAAAAAATACGAATTCATGTAGAAACTAGTGCCACTGCTGGAGGACATTTTATGTACCGCAGCGTTCATATATTATTAGTACAGCCCTGCGATTCTGTAACTCACTTTTCGAACTCACACAGCGGTTTTCGCATCGGCGGTCGCTCTCAAATCAGTCGTGAAGCAGTCATTTTATGATTTGGCATTCTGATAAACAATAAACTACAAGCTCCCACCTTTTCAGAATCAGTGTGAAAAATTGTGAATATCTTGAATATTTATTTGCTATTTTTGTCTGTATCTAAAATTAACCAACCAATGGTTTTCTCTTGATTTTTTCTCATCTTCTGCGAGATGCTTTCCAAAAACAGTTCGTCACGACAATAATTTTGTTAAGTGACCATTAATAATGTTAATTAATTCATGGATAATTAGTAATTATTTAATATGAACCCCGCGTTATTTTTATATCTTATCGCGTCAAACCTCAATCAGTTAACGTAAGCCATGGCACTCGCACACATTCTACTATATTTAACATTCATAGTATTTTGTGACAGTGCCCGGATATTGGCCGTCTTCCCCGTGCCATGTCACAGCCACCAGCTGGTTTTCCGACCCCTGACGTTGGAGCTAGCAAGACAGGGCCACGATGTCACAGTCATCACCCCGTTACCAGCGTTCCTGAACGGAACAACGCCGAAAAACATCACAGAAATCAATATAGGGAATTGTATAGAGAAATTGATGCAGAAAGCGCTTGTTGATGATATGAAAGACGCGAAGGACATTTATACACAGCAGGTGATCGCGTTTGATGCGGCGAAGAATGTCTTTGACGTAATAATGATGGAGTTGAGGGGTTTCTTAAAGAGCGGACAGGTCTTTGACCTCGTTCTGGGTGAAGCGTGCGCGCGGTTCACAGTGGTTTTCTCGGAGATTTTCAAAGCGCCGTTCGTTCAGGTCAGTTCCTTTGGCGGCACTTTTGATACGTTCAGCATAGTTGGTGCTCCGATACATCCGCTATTGTATCCTCTTGCCGTTCGTGAGAAATTCAAGAACTTAACTGTCTTAGATAAATTGAGAGAAGTATATGAGCATTATCGGTTGGTGAAGCTGTATTATGAAGTGGAGGAGGCGGAGAACGAGGTGGCGAGGCGGCATTTGGGGAAGGAGTTTCCAAGCATGGGAGAGTTGATGGGGAATGTTGAAATAATTCTTTTGAACGTACATCCTGTTTGGGACTCCAACCGCCCGGTTCCGCCTAATCTTATTTATTTGGGAGGCCTGCATTTGCAGAAGGAAAAGGAACTGCCTAAGGTAGGTCAATAAATTTTGACTTTATTTTTAAAATACAGTGTAAACTCCTTATAACGTCCCTCTATGTAACGACAAATCCCTTAAAGCTTCGAAATCAATTGGTTTTGGTTGGTTTAGCTTGTCTTCCATACAATGATACACTCTACATAGCATGACACCCACCCTCAATAACGACAATTAAATAATTAAAAGCACTTTATAAGTTGCCGAAATTAGTTAAAACTGCGGAGCTGTGTACGTTCTATTGTCGCTTTATTGTTAGCCTGTAACAAACTCGGCATAATTGGTACGGATCTTTCTGAGAAATCCGTTCGTTTGTTTACAAATTGGGATTGTTTGAACGTACTTTATCATGAAGATGCCTCAATATCGCAAGATATAAATAAAATAAGATAAAAAATACAAGATATTTGCTGGTACAGCAAAAGCGTTAGCATAGCGTTCAAGTAAGAAATGATTTTTTATGTAATTACTAACAGCCCTGCGATTCTGTAACTCACTTTTCGAACTCACACAGCGGTTTTCACAGCGGCGGTCGCCCTCAAATCAGTCGTAAAGCAGTCATTTTTGGCATTCTGATAAGGTCCCTCCTTGTAGTTTATTGTTTATCAGAATGCCAAATCATAAAATGACTGCTTTACGACTGATTTAAGCGCGACCGCCGCTGTGAAAACCGCTGTGTGAGTTCGAAAAGTGAGTTACAGAATCGCAGGGCAGTAGTCTGAAATAAACTTTTCCTAAATACAGATTTTTCTTCTTTCCATTTAACGACAACTCTTTGTAACGTCAAAATAGGCACAGTCCCTGGGTGTAGTTATATAGAGGTATGTATTCTGGAAATCAATTAATTCGTCCCCATACTCCTCGGAATTCCGAAACGGCTCGACCGATTCATATGATATTTTTTACTCATATTCAGTAAGTCTGATAATCAGCTACTATCAAACAAATAAAAAATATAATATAACAGTGTGTAACACTTACGCAAAGCAAGTATATGGACAAGTTGATACTGTTATCATTATCTTTACGTTGTGTAAACGTGTTTTGAAATCATATATGATCTATTAAATGAATTAATATTAACGTCTAGTATGACCCGGCATTTAATTATGGATTCAAGGTTGATACTGTTATCCTCATGGTACAATTAATATATATAAATTGTCATGGTGGTCCGCTATATGACTGGTATATAAAAGATAGGATCTTACATCTAAATATTTTATAAATATTTGTTTATTATTGACTAAAAAAAAAGGCGGGGGGGGGGGGGGAAAAACAACAATTAAAAAAAAAACACTGGGTGGGGAAAAAAAGCATGGTGGTCCCCATGACTGGTATATAACAAAAACCTTAGCCACAGCAACGCTTGGCCGGTCTGCTAGTCTAAACATATAAAACAAAGTCGTGTTTGTCACACCACTTATAACTCAAGATCGGCTGGACCGATGTTAGTTATCTCTTTTTTTATGGATTCTTCTCCTCTCCGAATAGCAGAATAAGTAATAAAATATCGGATAAGTTATCGAATAACAATAAATAAATTAATTTTACGAATGCAAACACCATGTGGTGCTGTTGACAAAATTACGCATCATTTTACATCGAATTCGTATCAGTTCAAGAAATTCCGATCTTGAGGTGAATGAGGAGATGCATAACCAGGCTTTGATCTTGATCGAAGACATGTGTTACCTCATCAAAAAATATTGTACACAGAAAGTGCTTTTAACATGCAGAATCGCAATATTGGCGCTAGAGAGAAGAAGCCTAATGTGTAAAACTGTATTTCTTCTTTCGCAATGGCTAGCAATAAAACATTTCTGTATTTGCTAAAATAGTTGTATTAATAGTATTGTCTTTGATTAACATAACTTTTATTCATTTAATAAAACACTATTTTGACCGGATTGAAGTTATGTATTATTATAAATTTACAACTATTTAACATAATTTTAAATTTATCCGACGTTTCGCGTGCTTTACAGCGTGCGTGGTCACGGTGACTGAAGACAAAAGATGTTGAATGTCAAAAAGTATCACAGCTGCAGAGAATGTTGCATTATCTGTATTTATTTCCCCGGAGTTGGTATCGACTAAAAGATGGAGGGTTTTGGCAAAAATGGCTTACGGTGTCCTCTATTTTCGCGGATTGTTCTTTTTGAGATTTTAATTTGGATATTATTGGATCCCAGGTGTTTGACAATTTTAGGCCGTCTTCTCTATTGAAATTGGGGTGTTTTTTGATTTCAATGGCTTCGCGTACCAATCTTGGGAAGAATCTTTTCTCTTTCGCAAGTACTTTCGGTTGGTCAAAGCGTATGTAGTGATTAGGCCTATCTAGTATGTGTTCACAGACTGCTGATTTTGTGTGTCGTCTATGTCTTATGTCTGCAATGTGTTCTTTGAGTCTGCTGGACATATTGCGTTTAGTTTGCCCTATGTAAGACAGGCCACAGTCGCAATTTATAAAAATTTATAATAATACATAACTTCAATCCGGTCAAAATAGTGTTTTATTAGTTGTATTAATGTCTAACTAAAGTTAACACGATATTATTAGACTGTTAGGCGGAACAAAGTTAGCCGGGTCAGCTAGTATAAAAATAAAAATAGCCTATTTTCAAGTACATAATGACTAACATTAAATCCATTATGTTTAACATAAGTACACAACCTCTGGTGTGATGGCCTCCTTCAAATTATTTCACTTGTGTCTCTTCCTTGCCACCATTTTCCAATCCCGCTGTCCCTTTTATTGAATCTTTCCAGTTTTCTGGCGTCCTCTCCTTTTTCTTACCTCTGGACCACTCCTAGTAAGGATCTTTTTGACCCATCTGTCATCAAACGCGGGCAATGTGACCGGCCCTGTTTTTAACGCTGTGTTTTGGCGCAGCATCATACCGACTATTCCGCTCTAGCCGCGGAATTAAACGCGTAGCAAAACTAGCGGTAAACAGTATCCAGAGGGATATCTCCCTGAGCGGTCACATTCCGGACTAATTCATTTGTTTTAATTACAATCTTTTGTCTCTTATTGTTTTATTAATCACAAGATTAACTAATAATTATTAATTAGACGCAAGATTATCAAATTATTGGGATATTTAAGTATCTTATTAGTAAATTAAGTGTAGCGGTAGGTACCAGCGGTGATTATTCGCACATATTTTGTTTATTTATTTCGTAAAACTACAGCTAACATAGATTATATATAAAAAAAAATGGAATAAATATATACAAAAAAGTAATACATATTGGAACGGAATACATATTTACGAGAGGGAAAAATCTATAAAAAAAAGTGTCGGTACAACTTTTGGTCTTAATTTATTCCGTCTAGCCCCCTTTGCAACGCGCGATAACTTCGTTGCAACTAGACTTATTTAGACTCAAGTCAAGGGTGTAGAACGGAAGAGAAGAACTGGCAATAAACTCCGCCACTCTTTTTAATCGCCAAGTTTTTTGTTTTCCACAACGTTTGTAAGAAGCTGCAACCATTACACAATGTTCCACATGACTAATAATAAATAATAATAAAATAAATTAAAAACAAAGATTTGTCCTCTATCAGCAGGAGGCATGGTGAAATAAGAGCACGCACATTCTTGTGGGAACAACACGCAAATACATAGTCGAAACCACTAACATCACCGCATACACGAATTCAAGTACGACCAGTCACCACAATTAGCACCCGTTCACGAGTATAACGCATGGCCAGCCATCGCCCTCTCGCTAACATGTCAATAAATCTATTAACAAATATAGCAAAGACATAAATCACGCTACTTAAATCTGAATCCAATCCCAAAACCCTCCACCCTTGGTCCCATAGACAAGAAAGTGTTTATGAGTTGTGTAGCAATCCATATATTTTTATTAATTTACAGGAATTAAAAGCCGAGCTGGACGCGACAAAAGGAGTGATATACATGAGTTTTGGAAGCACTGTCCGATCATCAATCTTAAGTCAAGAGAAAGTTGACATGTTCTTAAACGTTTTGGCACAACTGCCGTACACAGTGTTCTGGAAATGGGATATGAAAGTGAACAATCCACCGGATAACGTTATTGTGAGGAAGTGGTTTCCTCAGGCTGATTTATTACGTATGTATACTTTAAAATAATAAAAAATAAAATATTTTTGGTATGGAATATGAGATATACATATTTTATATCACTTATTCCCCGTCAGTAAATTTAATCGGTAGAAATCTCTACTCATCGGCAGAAGACAGAGGGTGTAGGCCGAGAGGAAAGCCGGAACTCTTTTAAAATATCAAATTATCATACAAAAACACTTTAGTTTTTTTTTTTTTCCCCCCCCACCCCCCAAAAAAAAAAAAAAAAAAAAAAAAAAAAAAAAAAAAAAAAAAAAAAAAAAAAACAAACCCCCCCCCCCCCCCCCCCCCCCCCCCCCCCCCCCCCCCCCCCCCCCCCCCCCCCCCCCCCCCCCCCCCCCCCCCCCCCCCCCCCCCCCCCCCCCCCCCCCCCCCCCCCCCCCCCCCCCCCCCCCCCCCCCCGGCGCGGGGGGGGGGAAGGAAAAAAAAAGGAAAAAAAAAAAAAAAAGGAAGGAAGGGGGGAAAGGGGGGGGGGGGGGAAAGACATTACCGCCCCCCCCCCCCAATTAAAATCAAATAAAAAAAAAAAAAAAAAAAAAAAAAGGGAAAAGAAACCAACAAAAGGAAAAAAAAAAAAAAATTCTTCTAAACCCCACAGGGGGGGAAAAAAGGGGGAAAGGGGGGGGGGGAAGGCCCGCCCCAAAAAAGGGGGGCCCCCCCGTTTTTTTTTTTTTTTTTTTGCCCCGTTTCTTTTTTTTAAAAAAAAAAAAAAAAAACCCCCTCCCCCCCCCCCCTTTCTTTTTTTTTTTTATTCCCCCCCCCCCCCGCTTCCTTTTCCCTTTTTTTTTTTTTTCCCCCCCGCGGGGGGGGGGGGCTTTCGCGGGGTCTTCTGAACTTAGCCTTATTTTTAAAACAAATATCGCAAATTAATTAGAAGTAACCTGTCTAACACTAGATATCAACTAGATAATCGTTAACTTTATAGTAAGCATTTTTACACAGCTTGTCTTTAATACATTTCTTAAATTTATTAACCAACATTTCTTTGAGTTGTAAATATAATATTTGCATTGCCTCGGGTGCCTGATACGTCAGGAGGCAACCATCAACTCTCAACTACCCTCTCGAAAAGCGCACACACGAAAATGTATGGAAATAATTAATTGCACAGATTAACAGTCGTTTTTAATTGTCCGTTGAGTTGACAAAATGTCTGCTTCATGTCAGTTCCTGTACTGCAAGAAATAGTCTTTTTGTAAATATTTTAATCTATTACGGTGTAATGTTGTGTTGTTTTGAAGTGAAACTTCTTTAGAATAAGGGTAAATTTTTTACGGATGAAACGCAATAATAATAATATTAGCGTCACGAAGATGTGCAGCGTTTTTGTCGAAGAAAGGGCAGAGAGCGATTAAGAGAGAGAGTGAGCGAATTACCTCATAAAAATTCTATTTTAAAAATTAAAATTTCGTAAAGAGAACTTATGAAATATTAGTATTTTATATTATCTTATGCAAAATAATTGATTGAAATCTCAAATGACGAATTGTAAAATAAATTGGCACGTGTTTCGAAGAAATAAATTAAATTTATAATTTGTATTAGTTTGCGAGACTTAATATTTAAATGACAATTAAATTCATTAAATTCCTAACATATTTTCTTAATTTTCCCTCCCTCTAAGTCTCGGAAATTTAAGTTTTGATCGTATAAAATATATGAACAAGACTTAAAAATTAGTTCGCCAAAGAAGTTTCACTTCTGACATGTGTACTTTGTACGCACGCACTTTTTTTTCTATGTGTCATAAATGTAAATTGTTACGGCCTCGTAGTAGCTTATTTTGTTAAAAAAATAACAGTCAAATATTCGTTATACACAAACCTACTGTACAAAATTCCCTGTGGCAGTGTGCCTGTAATGCTCGCATTGCTGTATTGCGGTACTTATTTGTTGATACCACCAGCTGGGGTCACCGGTATTAACTACCAGGCGCCAATTAAAATCTTTAAATAAATAATACGCAAATTCTTGACACTTACGTGCTAATAATAATGTTATTACTTTGTTCTGCATGTTCAAGTCAAAGGGCAGCTCATTAATTATTTGAAAGTGCAATAAATATTAACTTTGTTTTGAAACAAATAACACAAGTGATAAAACTTTGATTTACCGCGGCCATTACTATTGTAACCATGGACACCGTAACCATGGCAACATGCAGCAACTCTTACATCAGTTTGGCATTGCGTTATTTTGATTTTTTAAAGATGAAATAGGCCTAATGTTAAGTGATACCGCCCATGGACATTAAAATAAAGTCGTAAATGTATTTTTTAAGCTATTGCATAGATCGTCGATACCAACTCCGGGGAAATAAATACAGATAACACAACTTTTTCTACAGCTGTGATACTTTTTGACATTCAACACTTTTTGTCTTCAGTTACCGTGACCACGCACGCTATAAAGCACGCGAAACGTTGGTTAAATTTAAAATTATGTAAAATAATTGTAAATTTATAATAAAACATAACTTCAAATCCGTTGAAAATATGTTTTCTATTGCATAGATTAAAATCTATAGCGGGCTTTGAACGCGGCGACCGAATCAAGAATTTCCGTAACGAAAATAAACCTAACTGAGCCTGGTAGAGTGGTAGATTGAATTAATATCAAAGAAAAAAAATACTGCATAAATAAATATTTATAATTGCATAAGTTGATAAAAAATATGCAATAGCTTTACCGCGGCAGTCCCCAAGTGCCACACGTTTTTTTTTTATTACATTGACCGGTGACCCCAGAGCTGGTGCTTTCCTCGCTCGATAAATGAGTAATACAGCGAGGAAATGCCAGCAAAGGTTCACTGCCACAGGGACCAAACTTTTTAAATAAGTTTTTATTTTCTTTTTAATTATTTTTATTATTACTTTGGAGGTTAAGAATTTTTATTGACATCCATATGTTTTTTTATTTCAGGACACCCGAAAATTAAGCTGTTTATCACCCAAGGAGGACTTCAGTCCATAGATGAAGCTATAGACGCTGGAGTACCAATGGTGGGAGTTCCCATACTCTGGGACCAATGGTACAATGTTGATAAAATTGTGGAATTAGAAATCGGAGTTATGTGTGATATTCGTACATCGTCTAAAGAAGACTTTAAGAATGCTATTGAAACCGTTCTTAACAATACAAGGTAATTTAAGGCGTTTTTGACATGCGAGAATCAAGATTAATTTTAATTCAAAGTATTTGTCGTTTGCCTAGTGGCTTCAGCGTGCGACTCTCACCCCTGAGGTCGTAGGTTCGATCCCCGGCTGTGCACCAATGGACTTTCTATATTCTATTAACATTTGCTCGAACGGTGAAGGAAAACATCGCGAGGAAACCGACATGTCTTAGACCTAAAAAACATCGACGGCGTGTTCAGGCACAGGTGGCCTATTAGATTAAAAATGATCATGAAATAGATTCAGAAATCTGAGACCCAGACCTCAAGAGGTTGTAGCGCCACTGATTGTTCTTTTTGTTTCTTGTTTGCATACTTTTGCATAGACAGGGGAATAATAAATAGATAATTATAATTAGTAGTTTTTGATGATTTGCTATGATTTTTTATTACTAATTCTATTTTAGATATAAAACAAACATCGAGAAACTTCGTGATGTAATAAATGACCAGCCGCAAACGTCACTGCAGAAAGCAATATGGTGGATAGAGCACGTCATCCGCCATAAAGGCGCGAAATATTTGAAATCGCCCGCGTTCGATATGAGCGTCACAGACTACTTCGAAGTTTATTTAATTTTGTCTGCGATCGCTGTCTGTTTAATTGTATTTTTAATGTTAACGTTTGTCATTAAATACTCATTAAATATACTCTGCAATAAAAAAGTTAAGCAAGATTAAAGAATTGTTTTATTTTTGAAGTTGTACTTCTTTAGGCGCGTTATGAAAAATTGATGAGAGTGAAATTTTACGATTGCGCGCGCACCTATGACACAAAATTGGCAGTGTGATATAGCGTGCGCGAGCGAGATGGGAATAAGACAAACTACAAGTAAAGAAATAGAATATGCGTGAAGCTAACTTCACGCATATTCTAGCTTAGCAGCTTAATAAGAATTTTGAATGACCATGACAATTGACATCTGACAATGACATTTACCTTTTAAACAAATATAGGAGTTTTAATTATTGTTTAAAATTAATAATTATATACCTAGTTATTTTCATTATACAAAATATTTGTGAAATAATATAAAATATTTGTGAAAAAACTGTGCTAACCTTCCTGAGTGCTTCAATACAATTCAGGTTAACTATCCGTATGTATTATCGAGTATTATTGTTGATTAAAACTGAAATTATTCATTGCTTTTGTTTATTGCGTTTGTTACAGCAACTTTTTAGAAATATTCTACGACCCTATATATCAATAATTGAGAACAAAGATTTAAGCACGAATACTAATAAGGAGAAAATGAAGGCTTGGAGCGATATAACAGAGAAGTAAACATTTTAATAAGTACCTGCATCTCAAAAAAATGACCACATTATTTAATCAAAACATCAGATTTAATCTAGCAAATATAAGGACAAGAAAAACAAAAAACAATTGATGAATCAGTGGAAGTGCACTAAATTGAATACAAAAAAAGAGTTGTCATCTTATCGCCGTGAAACATCAAAAACTGGAGGTGGAACAAAGCCACCATCACCTTCTCGAGACACAATGGTTTGAAGTAGATTTCAATGAATTTGATTGTGATGGTGTCGAGGTAGGAATGTTAATTATAAATATGATGTATGGTGATGTTCAAGGTTCAACCTTTCAAGCATAGGCATATGCTTACAACATTACTTTATTCCCCTACAGGGTAGTTAGAGATATTGTAATACCTCAAAACATCCATGTTGCACTTGTAGTACCGAAACTCTGTCCTGCCAGAAGTGAGCCCATTCCCACTTATAATGGACAGTGGGTATAATACACCTTAATACCTGAGTGCGAACCACTCACCATGATACTTAAATTAATAGATGTTATTTATATATTTCAGGTTATTACAAATAAAATCATTTTGGAAACAATTGATATCCCAAAAGCAAATAAAGCCAACAATGACAAGGTAATAAATCAGTTTTGACATAACTTGAATACTAAAAAAGCCAAACAAAGGTGTGCACAACAGTGACAACATAACTTAACAATTTCATTATTTTGTAGGATTAAAGAAAGGTTAAAGAAAATCATGTCGAACTGAACAACAAGAATCCCCAAACAACTCCAAAGAAACCTACAAGGAAGACACCGGTATTATATTTAAATTATCTCTATCTCTAAATAGAATAAAAGAAAGTTGCTATCCAGGTCTGTAGCATGTGCTACAAATTATATTATTAACACATTTATATAATTATATTAATATAAATGTGTTAAAAAAATTTATAATATGAATTATAAAAAATTTTAAGTTTTGCATGGACAGAGCTTAAATTAATATTCTCTTATTTGTTGCAGAAAGCAAGTAGTTTTGGAGAAGCCTCGTAGATGCACAACCAAGTAATGATTAATTTAAAATTACAAACCGAAATTCTGATGAAGACATTAGAGTCACTTAAAAATAAATAGTATAATGAAATAAAAATGTTTTAAAGATAAATAGTGTTTTATTTATTTAATGTAAGAGAATAATAATAAATATTTATTTAATTAATTTTTCAAATGTAAACTGAACTTTATTGACTTTAATGACTCCTTTTCCAGTCTTTGATTATTTAATTGTAATTAATTATTTGCATGCAATCAAAAACTATTTTTAATAATGCCAAAGAAGTATAACTTCTTACGCGCGTACATAAGTACACGCACCCTTTTTTTTCTTAAAAAAGAAGAAAATAACTATGTACTTCATAAAACGATATAAGTTTTTTTAATACAGTTGCTCAAAAAGTGGCGTATTGCAGGGACGTATAGCGTTCGGGATGTGGGCTATTACACACTCGTGCTTTTTTTTTACCTTTTCCGAACTAGTGCGTTTTCTTTCCCAACTGTCAAAATAATGTCTATTAAAAAGAAAAAACCAACCACGAAGTTTTTACTAAAAAAAATTCATAGAAATTTTTATGATTCATGCAAATATTTCTAAAAAGAAGCTACTGCTTTGTTTCAATATAAGATTTAATGATTTGATTCAATGAGTTAGGTTAGATTTCATTTCATCTCCTTAAATTTCATTTCATATCAATAAAAAATTGTACTGAAGACTTGGCTGTATGGGCTTAGTTCCCTTTGCCTACCCAGAATGGGTGAAGAAAAAAAAATATCTGCTTATATTCTTTTACGGTTGGCGCCATTTTCCAAAAATGTTCTTTGCGCGTTTAGTTGTTTGTTATATTATATATTAAATATACATGAAAAATCATACGAAATAAATAATAGTTTGTCTCAAACAGTAAATAAATATGCAACCTAAAACTTCTCCAGTTAGTATAAAAAACTGTACCAATGTATATGTGAACAATAATTTGTATAAGAAATAAATGATTAGTGAGTTGAGTTTATTGTTTTTTTATTATTTTATTAAATTGCATCATTTTTTCGCAACTGTATTAAAAATAGTTGTTCAGTACACGTGCGGAACCGTCATTGCAACTTGTTCCGACTGTTAACCCTCACCTTCGGCTGCGCCTCGGCTCGGGTAGACTAGATTTGTCGAAACTCTTTGCAATGACAGGCTTTCCGCACTTGTAATGAAATATACTATTTTGGGTAGAAGGTCATTTGTGTAAAGTTTAACGCCACTTATCGGCACTGTTCATTAACACCTGATCCAAGATCCATACAAATAACTTTTCATACTTTATCGAACTCATTTTAACGTAATTTATTTTACACAGAGTATTAATATCGCAATATTTTGTTTATGCTGAATTACAGGTCACAGGTAATTAATATGGAAATTATAAAATCTATTTATTACCTAGCTGTCCGGCAACCGTTGTGTTGCAATAAAAATATTATGAAAGCACTAATATCGCTATTATATCAGGATTGGTATATGGGTAACAATTAAAAGTTATATCTATTTTGAAACGACTAAAACTGAAGGACATAAATACGTCACTCACTGCAACAAACGCGTGACGGGCCTCCATTCGCCTAAGCTCAAACTCAAACTCAAAATAACTTTATTACACTGTACACTTATAAACGTCAACAGAAAACATGTTAAATTGATTCTAAATTTACATTTACTACCAGTTCTCAAATCAAACGCGTAGAGCAAGAATTTCTCCGCCATTCTTTTTAATCACTAAGTTTTTAGTCAATGAATATATAGGAAATATTAGGAATATTAATGGAGAAGTGGCTACGCCAGTCCTCTCGCGAGTTCTGCAGCATATATATATCTTAAAATATATAGATCATAATATATGTATATGTGATCTGGTAATTAGACTGACAGTTTCCACGATATTAACTAATATGTCTCATGAAAAATCACGCCGTCCCGTGCGTAATCACGTATAAGTAAGTCATTTTGGCACATTTTTACATTGAGCATAATGATAATTTTTAGAATTTAATACGTTACCTTCGGCAGTTCGGGTATGTTAGCATCAATGTGATATCCAGCTATTTCTACGACATTCGGCGGTATACTTCTAGCTGGTGAGAAAGAGGGATGGCTGTCCGAGAGCAGGATTGATACATTTCTGTGAATTTCCCCGAATGGCGGCAATGGAATTCCTCTGGCTGCCGCTAGGGGGCCAAAGTTCTCTTCGTAATCCGACTTGAACACTTGGTATGACTTCCTAAAAAATATTTTCGTTAATAAATATTTAGGACATTTTAAAATAACTGTAATATTTGACAGATCATCAAATATCAAATAGACAAGTTTTCCTAAATAAAGGTTCATGTTTGTAGTAACATTACTTTATTCCCCTACAGGGTAGTTAGAGATATTGTAATACCTCAAAACATCCATGTTGCACTTGTAGTACCGAAACTCTGTCCTGCCAGAAGTGAGCCCATTCCCACTTATAATGGACAGTGGGTATAATACACCTTAATACCTGAGTGCGAACCACTCACCATGATACTTAAATTAATAGATGTTATTTATATATTTCAGGTTATTACAAATAAAATCATTTTGGAAACAATTGATATCCCAAAAGCAAATAAAGCCAACAATGACAAGGTAATAAATCAGTTTTGACATAACTTGAATACTAAAAAAGCCAAACAAAGGTGTGCACAACAGTGACAACATAACTTAACAATTTCATTATTTTGTAGGATTAAAGAAAGGTTAAAGAAAATCATGTCGAACTGAACAACAAGAATCCCCAAACAACTCCAAAGAAACCTACAAGGAAGACACCGGTATTATATTTAAATTATCTCTATCTCTAAATAGAATAAAAGAAAGTTGCTATCCAGGTCTGTAGCATGTGCTACAAATTATATTATTAACACATTTATATAATTATATTAATATAAATGTGTTAAAAAATTTATAATATGAATTATAAAAAATTTTAAGTTTTGCATGGACAGAGCTTAAATTAATATTCTCTTATTTGTTGCAGAAAGCAAGTAGTTTTGGAGAAGCCTCGTAGATGCACAACCAAGTAATGATTAATTTAAAATTACAAACCGAAATTCTGATGAAGACATTAGAGTCACTTAAAAATAAATAGTATAATGAAATAAAAATGTTTTAAAGATAAATAGTGTTTTATTTATTTAATGTAAGAGAATAATAATAAATATTTATTTAATTAATTTTTCAAATGTAAACTGAACTTTATTGACTTTAATGACTCCTTTTCCAGTCTTTGATTATTTAATTGTAATTAATTATTTGCATGCAATCAAAAACTATTTTTAATAATGCCAAAGAAGTATAACTTCTTACGCGCGTACATAAGTACACGCACCCTTTTTTTTTAAAAAAGAAGAAAATAACATGTACTTCTAAAACGATATAAGTTTTTTTAATACAGTTGCTCAAAAAGTGGCGTATTGCAGGGACGTATAGCGTTCGGGATGTGGGCTATTACACACTCGTGCTTTTTTTTACCTTTTCCGAACTAGTGCGTTTTCTTTCCCAACTGTCAAAATAATGTCTATTAAAAAGAAAAACCAACCACGAAGTTTTTACTAAAAAAAATTCATAGAAATTTTTATGATTCATGCAAATATTTCTAAAAAGAAGCTACTGCTTTGTTTCAATATAAGATTTAATGATTTGATTCAATGAGTTAGGTTAGATTTCATTTCATCTCCTTAAATTTCATTTCATATCAATAAAAAATTGTACTGAAGACTTGGCTGTATGGGCTTAGTTCCCTTTGCCTACCCAGAATGGGTGAAGAAAAAAAAATATCTGCTTATATTCTTTTACGGTTGGCGCCATTTTCCAAAAATGTTCTTTGCGCGTTTAGTTGTTTGTTATATTATATATTAAATATACATGAAAAATCATACGAAATAAATAATAGTTTGTCTCAAACAGTAAATAAATATGCAACCTAAAACTTCTCCAGTTAGTATAAAAAACTGTACCAATGTATATGTGAACAATAATTTGTATAAGAAATAAATGATTAGTGAGTTGAGTTTATTGTTTTTTTATTATTTTATTAAATTGCATCATTTTTTCGCAACTGTATTAAAAATAGTTGTTCAGTACACGTGCGGAACCGTCATTGCAACTTGTTCCGACTGTTAACCCTCACCTTCGGCTGCGCCTCGGCTCGGGTAGACTAGATTTGTCGAAACTCTTTGCAATGACAGGCTTTCCGCACTTGTAATGAAATATACTATTTTGGGTAGAAGGTCATTTGTGTAAAGTTTAACGCCACTTATCGGCACTGTTCATTAACACCTGATCCAAGATCCATACAAATAACTTTTCATACTTTATCGAACTCATTTTAACGTAATTTATTTTACACAGAGTATTAATATCGCAATATTTTGTTTATGCTGAATTACAGGTCACAGGTAATTAATATGGAAATTATAAAATCTATTTATTACCTAGCTGTCCGGCAACCGTTGTGTTGCAATAAAAATATTATGAAAGCACTAATATCGCTATTATATCAGGATTGGTATATGGGTAACAATTAAAAGTTATATCTATTTTGAAACGACTAAAACTGAAGGACATAAATACGTCACTCACTGCAACAAACGCGTGACGGGCCTCCATTCGCCTAAGCTCAAACTCAAAATAACTTTATTACACTGTACACTTATAAACGTCAACAGAAAACATGTTAAATTGATTCTAAATTTACATTTACTACCAGTTCTCAAATCAAACGCGTAGAGCAAGAATTTCTCCGCCATTCTTTTTAATCACTAAGTTTTTAGTCAATGAATATATAGGAAATATTAGGAATATTAATGGAGAAGTGGCTACGCCAGTCCTCTCGCGAGTTCTGCAGCATATATATATCTTAAAATATATAGATCATAATATATGTATATGTGATCTGGTAATTAGACTGACAGTTTCCACGATATTAACTAATATGTCTCATGAAAAATCACGCCGTCCCGTGCGTAATCACGTATAAGTAAGTCATTTTGGCACATTTTTACATTGAGCATAATGATAATTTTTAGAATTTAATACGTTACCTTCGGCAGTTCGGGTATGTTAGCATCAATGTGATATCCAGCTATTTCTACGACATTCGGCGGTATACTTCTAGCTGGTGAGAAAGAGGGATGGCTGTCCGAGAGCAGGATTGATACATTTCTGTGAATTTCCCCGAATGGCGGCAATGGAATTCCTCTGGCTGCCGCTAGGGGGCCAAAGTTCTCTTCGTAATCCGACTTGAACACTTGGTATGACTTCCTAAAAAATATTTTCGTTAATAAATATTTAGGACATTTTAAAATAACTGTAATATTTGACAGATCATCAAATATCAAATAGACAAGTTTTCCTAAATAAAGGTTCATGTTTGTAGTAACACACAAAGTGCCACACACGAAATAGAGTGCCTTTACACAGAGTTGATCACTAAAATGCGATTGCAGGCCACCCATGGACACCTGGAACACCTGGAGGTTTATAGAATATACGAGAGGAGGCTCACCTGATGTTAAGTAATTCCGCCCGTCGCTATGAAGACTCAATGCCAGAGGGCTCGCGTGTGCGTTGTCGGTATTTTATGTAAAATGTGTGATGACGGGTGCGATGCTGTCTTTGAAATGATAGGCTCTTCTTGAAGGCCAAAGGTTCCAAAGCCACAAAAAGGGCTGTGGTTTGAGAGTCTCATTTGACTTACCACTCATAAATCATCATCATGGCATATGATATGGTGCTCCACAAGCGATGCCAAAATGACATGGGCATGGGATAGTCTGTGTGTATACTTGGTATAATCGGGAGTGACCTCACAGCATCAACGAGTTGTTCTACATGGTAACTCATGACATTTCCACTAAGGACTATCCATGGAACTTGTTGGATCGCTGCGTAGCTAAAACCGATTAAAGAAAATTTTTACCAATGCAAGCGTGTTGTAATATAAGATTATTCATCAAAAAACTGTTGTGCTTATAGAAAATTACGTTTAGGACAATATTTGAGACAAATCAACAAGATATCTTCAAACAAATAGTCACTTATTTTAACTAAACCAAATCCAAAAATAATTGTCTTAATGTAAAATTACGTTTTTGGAGAAGATTTTTAAAAAATCACAAAAAATCTTCGTGTTTTAACTATGAAGAATATATTTTTGGAGAAAGGAAGTGAACTTTCTCCAACCTACAGGGACTGATTCTCTAAGACTGCCCTGCGATTCTGTAACTCAATAAACAATAAACTACAAGCTCCCACCTTTTCAGAATGCCAAATCATAAAATGACTGCTTCACGACTGATTTGAGAGCGACCGCCGATGCGAAAACCGCTTTGTGAGTTACAGAATCGCAAGGCAGTTCTCGGATTTGTAGAAAATTTAAAGAATATTTGCAGAACCAAAGAGCAGGAATTCCGACCACCAAATAAACCACTCACCCTGCGTCAATATCTGTAAAAAACCATTCAGTCACGACAGCATCCAACTGGTCTTTGACCAGCACCTCTTGTATCACCGGTTTTTTTATTGTGGCAAGTGTCAAATCTCTGGCTAAACTTATAACATTGCCGATATTGACATCTGGATCTGACATGTCGATATCTGAAAAGTAATTACATAAGTATGAGCGATTAATATATTTTTACAACAATGTTTATTGACGTTAGAATATCTATACTAATATTATAAAGAGGAAAGATTTGATTTTTTGTTTGTTTGAAATGAATAGGCTCCGAAACTACTGGACCGATTTCAAAAATTCTTTCACCGTTGGCAAGCTACACTATTCCCGAGTGACATAGGCTATGTTTCATTTTCAAAAAAAATTGGGATGCTTACTAAAACTTGAATAAAAAAAAATAATAATAATAATAAAAATAATAAAATATTTATTTGTTTTCTCTCACACAAAAATACAGACACAAAATACAAATTTCAACATTAACAGGCAAAATCTGTGTGAGAGACTGGCGACTGTACTAGGATACCTGTATTACAGATTGCCAGTCCCTCCGCATCCGGACCGAATGGAATTTAAGTAGGTACATCAATTTGATCGAGAGACTATTACAAATATTACAAATATACTCACATTTAAGTGGGTGTGTGTGATGGTGCATGTATGGTTTAGTGTATGTAAGTGTTAATGTATGTATGTGTTAGTGAATTTATGACTTAGTGTATATATGTCTTAGTGAAGCATATATGAGCATGGGTGATAGTGTACCTATGTACTCGTATACATAACGTGTTAGTGTTAGGTATTAGCTGAGGACTACTAACAACTTCTCAGTCCCCTCGTAGTCTAGATTTTTAAGCCATTTGACTGTGGCTTTTTTACACTCATATTTAGTAAGCGGATATATGTTGATCAACCTGTTTATCTTGTTATATAGGTGACAGCCCATAAAACCAAAAAACCTTCTTGAGAAAGCTGTGGACCAACGGGTATCTGAGGTGCAGACTTTATATTTGCATCGTTTGTTGTCATTCAAAGAAGGATCATAGCGAGTTATGGAGTGTTGTTTGAGCACAGTGTTCAGTATAAATAGTTGACGAACACTCAACACGTCAGATAAAAGATATAGATCTTTGGTAGGGTAAAAAAATGGTTTAGAATAACTTACTTTCAATAACGCACGCTGAGCCCTCTCCAGTTTTATAAGATTAGTTTTACAAGCCCCTCCCCAGACAGTAACACAATAGCTTAAAACGGATTGGCAGAGGGATTGATAAACCATTTTAATTATCGATTTTTCAGCAATATTACGGAGATTCTTAAAGGTGAAGATAAGTTTCCGAGTTCGCGATAGTAGCAGGTCAATGTGGTAGTTAAACTTTAGCGTGCTATCAACAACGACACCTAGATACTTAGTATTGTTGGCAACAAAGATCTTTTGACAGTCACAAGAATCAGTATCAGAACATACATGAGCAGTTAAACCAAGGTTAGTACTAGAACCAGGAGTTTTTATATAGAACGGTATACATTTAGTTTTATTGACATTGATAGTTAGGGCATTCATTCTGAGCCATTTGTTAACAACGTCGAATCCTCTTTGAGCAATGTCGACAGTATCTTTCCAGCTATCACCATGAAACACAAGTGCAGTATCATCTGCAAATGTTATTATTTTACCATTTTGTAACTGGAGGTCACAAAGATCATTGATAAATGCCAGAAACAGTGTCGGACCTAAAACACTACCCTGTGGCACACCATAGCGTATCGGCAAATCGTCACTAACAATGTTGCCCACCCTTACTCTTTGCTGTCTATCACTCAAGTAGCTATCAAATAGTTTAAGCTGCAAACCACGAATACCCAAAGCCTCCAATTTATCCAGCAGAATAGGACCAGCGACCGCGTCAAAAGCTTTTGCAATGTCCAAAAATACAGCTAAAATTTTATTTTTCTTATCTAGTTTTGTAACAATATGATCAGTTAATTGATGAACTGCGTCGCTTGTTGATGAACCCGGTCTGAATCCAAACTGTGAGCTGGAGAGTAGGTTATTACTTTCTAAATAATCGATGAGGCGTTTGTTTATCAATTTCTCAATGATTTTGGATAGCGTAGATAGTTTAGAAATAGGTCGGTAGTTACCGACACAATCTCTATTACCACCTTTATAAACCGGAATTACTTCAGCTAGCTTGAATAGGTCCGGAAAGATCCCTGTAGAAAGAATCAAATTAAATATATATGTAAGTGGAGGGACTAAGATTTCATGATAACGTTTGAGAAAGGCTCCAGAAATATTATCTCTGCCCGCAGCACCGTCCTTCTTCAGTTGCAAGATAAGAGATTGAACTTCAACTACATCAGTAGGTAGCATGACGAATGAGGACAGTGTAGGATTGATTGATGGTTTTTTATAAGAGCTACTAGAATATGCTTTTTCGGCAATCTCTTTCCCGATAGAAACGAAATATTTATTAATGTTGTTGACAGAGACCATCGGGTCCAGTGGAGAGACCAATTCAAGTGCAGTGCTAGTTGTATTGTTGGAGTAGGTTAGTTGTTTGATAGTGTCCCAGAGAACTTTTGTATTAGTCTTAGCAGCTTTAAGTAGGCGGTTTCTCTCATAAGTATTTTTAATATTTTTTAAAAGTGAGTTGCAAAAATTTCTATACCTCTTGTAAGTTAACGCTAATATTTCGTTACTAGGATTTTTTCTTGATTTTTGATGTAGTTTGTCACGATGCTTTACACATCTTAGTAGACCTGCAGTCATCCATGGCCTCTTGATCCTTTTACGATTTGGGATGGTTAAAGTTTTCGTATTTGCTTTAATTACAGTGTCAAGCGCAGTCAGAAGAAATGCTGTTGCCTCATTGGGATCAGTCATTTTATATACAAGGCTTAGGTTTAAGTTCTTCATAGCATCGTCCAAAGACGGGTAATCAATCTTTTTCAGAGAAGAGTATTTGTCAGTCATAGTGCTACATTCAAGTTTCAGAATTAAAGTGTCGTGATCCGTGACTGAGGTTTCAGCAACATAGCAGAAGACGCGATAAGAACATTTTAGTATTACATGGTCAAGACAAGTCCTGCCATGAGTTGGAAATAAGTGGGCTGGCAATAAACCATGAGAAGCCAACATATTCAAATACGTTGAAGAATTAACATCCTTATTGTTATCCAATATATCAATATTGATATCACCTATCAGAACTTTATGAGTACTACTAATCTCAGAAAGAAGTTTGTCAAGAGATACCAAAAACCGTTGAACATCTTTGTAACCAGGTGGTCTATATACTGCAATTAGTGTTACATTATCCTCAAGGTTAATCAGTAAACAGTTGGCATCACAAAGGTCAGGCTCGGATATAACTAATTTCAAATGTTCTTTGTAAAATACTACAACTCCTTCATTCTGTGTGAAGTTTTTCTCGGTTAGAGCAGAGTTGTATCCCTCAAGAGATGGTAAGTTACGATTATTATGCAGCCAACATTCCGTTAAGATTATTAAGTCCCAATCAGTCCTGGATCTAGACAATAAGGTTTGAAAATCAGAGAAGTTACGATTTATACTACGAATGTTTTGATGGATAATTTTTAGACACTTATTCGGGCAGTTCATAAGTCTCCGGCAGTCCTCTATGTCACAAAGAGAAGATTGTGCAACATCAAGTTTATCGATATCATTTATAATTGCATTAGTTTTATCGAATTTTATTTATTGAGTCCGCAACTATGGTAAGACAAAAAGGCACGCGGTACAGCACAACCCTACGAGGATTCCACAATCCCGGGGACAACGCCACACAAATGAGACCAACACAATACACATACACACGGCACGAAGACAGACAGAGATTGTTGTTAACAGTTACATTCTTTCTATGAGTACACTTTGTATATATTGAGTGTAAGTGGTGTATAATTTCAGTGAGTGTGTGAGTATAGGTTAAAATAAGTGCAAGAGCAAATACAAATTCAAACGAAAATACATTATAGACTAAACGAGAACTTAACATGAAAAAATTGACTAAGGTAATTTTATTACTAGCAAGACTAAAGTAAATCAATAGAAATAAATAACAATATACAGTTAATTGGCAATATAGGTTAATGAGAAAGCAGTTACATGCAATGAGTCATGATTCCTTTGCCAGCTGAGATAAGCATTTTTCTGATTGGATTAAAATCGGTCTACCAGTCGAATCCTTACGCAAAAGTATTCTTCCATTTGAATGCCAGCACGAGTAGTTATGTTTCTTGGCAAATTGACGGGTTTCAAACATAAGTTTTCTTTGAGATGGACCTAGATGTTCGTCAATGTAAAGTGGAGTCTTTAATAATCTAACCCAAGGTGTAAAAAATAAACAAAAAACTTCCTTCAATCGCGTGCGCTACGAAAATTATTAATGATAGAACAAAATGATGTATCACAATTTTTCAGGACACATCACTATCTATAAAAAATGTCGCGGCAGCATGTCTCTATCTTTTATAGTTACGTCACAATAAGCGCCCTTTTATTAATTTTTTTTTAGTAATATACCACCGCTAGAAAAGGCTCTTTATTCGTACCTAGGTATTGATCCTTATCAAAATAAATACCAACGTTTCACATAAGCTACAATTGAATGGCATAACCACCAAAAAAGCTTAGTGGATTGGTGTTCTCCTGCCGTTTCTCTTGAATAGTTTACTACTATGTAATATAACAAAAATCTTAGCCACAGCAACGCTTGGCCGAGTCTACTAGTAATAAATAAATACATTGAAATAAATAACTAACCTTAACATATAATAACTAAAATATATTATTAAAAGGAGTCCCTTTAGGCAAGGTAACAATGTTTATTTATTTAATGTTTACAACACGTCACTAGTTTGACATTCAAGTATTTGAAATAACTTGACTTAAGGCCCTATTGCACAAATTGCTGTGTCAGTGTCTCGGGGTGGCCTGCGGGGCGCAGTGGAGAGCTGGAGCACTGAGGCGCGCCGGCCCGAATAGCAATTAGTTATGTAAAACATTCAATTAATGTAATTTTATGATTTTTTTTTAATGGATGGACTTGGCTTGCGATAAAATATATCGTGTAAATTTCCAGATCATGTTCTATATACATTTTAGTAATAAAATTAAATCAAAGTGTCAAAAATTGGCTGTTTGGTTTTTTTTTCTATCGATCGACGTTATTTAAATGGTTTTTTTTTAATTTGCCCTACTTCATGAAACGATGACGAAAAATGGAAAAATTCAATGTACTTTTTTGGAGTTTGGAAATTATTTCGGAACGTCACGAAGATTGTGCAGCGTTTTTGACGAATAAAAGGGAGGGAGCGATTGAGACCGAGTGAAAAGGGTTACCTTATAGTAATTCTATTTTTAAAATTAAAATTTCGTAAAACGAATTTGTGAAATATTAGTATTTTATATTTTATGCAATAATTTATTGTAATCTCAAATGACGAATTGTTAATTAAAATACCATGTGTTTTTATTATCGAAGAAATAAATTAAAACAAAAAACGACGGGTTGCACTCCGGGAGTTCCGGCAGAAGTGAAAACTTGAATATTAACGTTGTGCATTTTTGATATTTTGGAATGGTAAGGGAATAATTTTGCACGACTTGCTTTAATTATCAGTATAAATGTACTATCATTTATGTGGAGGAATTCAATATTTATTTATTGCGCTATCGTACACAAACATGACAATTTATATTACGAGTACATTAAATACGCCGCGCCAGCTATCTACTCTCCATCCGTCTTACGAAATCTACTTAGTATTAAATAATTCAATTAGGAAAATTCCCTTTTTTTAAGTTGCCATTATTTATTCGCGTCAGTCTAACCAAATCGTTAATAATAAAGCTTTACGGCCTGGCCACGGGGATCGGAGGTGCGAACGGCGAAGCGAGAGGCGAGGCGACCATTCACGCGGCGCCGTTTGCAGGCCACGCACCAGTCACGTTCGCCGCCGCGACCAGCAAGGAAGTTCGACAGCGAAATGTCTTTATCGAAATCATCTCGATATTGCTTGGAAAGTAATAGCTTTTGGTTCAAGACCTAATATTTGGAAGAGATTGTGGAGTACATGATTTAAATAAGAATCGAGGTATAGATGGAGAATTCCACAAAAAATACGAGAAATACAGAATATATCCAGAAAAGTTTTTGGAGTATACCAGAATGAGTATTGAAACATTCGATTATATTTTTATGTATATTTAACCAGAATTGGAGAAAAAAGTTAATGCAAATATAATTTTTTAGTTAAGCCAGTATATCAGTAATAAAAAAACTCTGTATTCATTTTTCGCCGCGAAAACGACTAAACTTATTTAATCCCTGCTCTATTCACCGCGACTGCCGCTCGACTCCGTGGCTTGCGCCGTACTGATTCATGCCTTTGTTTCGCTCGCCCGTCGCGACGCCAGTCGCCCGCGCGATTCGCTCGGTACATTTCGCCGGTCGCCGTTGCGCGTGGCTTGATTAGTACATTGCTATGAGTTTATTTCAGTTGCTAGACGCTTCGCCGTTCGCATCGCGCGAATATTCGCATCGGCGAATGTCCCGTGGCCAGGCTGTTAGACGTTTCGCAAAATTAAACCTTGATGGATTGACTTCCACATGCATCAATGTATCTGAGGAAAGAGACTAATGAATTAAAACCGTAACTATATAGCACGAAGGTTCAGATTCCTTTAAAAAACATCCGTCTTACAAATTTGTCCTGACGCATGTTTAACATTTTTTACCCATTCCAAAAAGAGTACAACGCCGCTAAATATGTTTTCACTTCAAAAATTAAATTCATAATTTGTATTAATTTTCGACACTTATAATATTTTAATGACAATTATATTTATTAAATTCCTAACATATCTTCATTTTTCCCTGCCTCTAAGTCTCAGAAATCTAAAGTTTTAGATTTGTATAAATATGAACAAGACTTAAAAAATAATTTGCCAAAGAAGTTTCACTTCTGACATGTGTACGCACGCACTTTTTTTTATTAAATATTAATCGTTATAAACGAAGATAACTCACTTTTTAAGAATTCATTGTGACTGCTCAAATCAAATACAGTGATGTTATCATGTTTCTTCACAGCCTCCGGGTATGGTGTCGCAAATAGGATCTAAAACCAAGTTAGTTATAGATTTTAGTTTCAAAAACTTTTTTCATTCAAATACTCTACGACAAAATTGTATTGGATAAAAAATGGCGCCCTTTCTAAGAATTAAATAATGTTTTATGAGAACAAAAACTACTAATAAAATATAGAGTTCCATCTGTTTTAATAATAATGTAATAATAAAAACTACATATATTCATGACACATCCCCACGCAGTACACTTAGCCCTGGTGTTGTGGGGAGTCAGATAACAATTGCTCCGTGGTACATGTTTAAAGTCTTAGAACTAATCAAACACAATGTCACAACAACACAACACTTTGTCTTATAAGACAAAGTTTCAGTAATAATAATAATAATAAAAACTTTATTCATGACATATACATAACCTATTGGTTGTGACAAAGATTTAGAGAAGGTAATGGTACATGTTTAAAGTGTTACAGATACCGGCAAACTTCTTGAGCATCAAACAAAAGAGAGAGGGAAAGTTGGCGCATCGTACGCAGCGCGGGACACAAACGACAACTGATTTACCAATCACGCGATCAAACTCAAACTCAAAATATCTTTATTCATGTAGGTAAACAAGTACACTTATGAATTGTCAGGTTAAATTAATTGTAAATTTACATTTACTACCAGTTCGCAAGTCAAGGGCGTAGAGCGGGCAAGAAGAACTGGCAAGAAACTTTCCGCCACTCTTTTTGAGTTTGAGTTTATAAATGTGAGCCAATACAAGGAGTACTATAGTTATAACTTGTATAATATATTTCTTGTATTTGTGTCTGTCACGTTTCCTTATAGTATAGATAAATACTCGCACACACTTATCGACACGTCATTCTCCGTCAATCGCTTCTGCGCAGGCAAGGACATTTGTTCAAGATGTTGCCGGTATCTGTACAACTAATTAAACACAAGACATTAAGTATGCGTGAATGTGTGAGTGTGTGAATAGGTGTGTGTGTGAATGTATTTGAAATTCTGTTGTGAAAAAAAGGAACAACTCCAGGCGTTATAGATTTTTTCATTGGATAGCTATTTAGAGATAATAAAGAATAAAATAAAGTAGCGCTGTTGTTACACAAGCTTTAAGTATTTCGCTTCGAATTTTAACAGTATGGAATTAAAGTGGCCTTATTAAGTATTACAAGCATTTCTCTCTCTCTGCCTCATAACAGTATATCTCTTTCTCTATTAAAAGAACACACGTGCTTTAACTTTAAATAATTAATTAAAACGAATCGCAATGCTTTTCTCGTTCAACGAATAAACATCGCAATACAGCACAGGGACCAAAACTTTTTGATTTTTTTTTTAATTTTCTTTTTATTTTTCTTTAAATTTCATTTATATTTATTACTATGTAGGTTAGGAAAATTGTTAATATTTTATATATAATTGTCTTCCATAAATTTTTGTCCACGGATTACTCCGTAAATAGCGAAAAAAACAAAAAAGGGTGCGTGTACTTATGTACGCGCGTAAGAAGTTATACTTCTTTGACTTTCTTTATTTTTTTTAAATATAATTAATTAATATTTAGACGTACCTGATGTCCGGCTTTGAGCAGCGGTTGAACCACACCATTGACCAAGTGAAAGTGACTCTTCGACGGAACCATGTGGATGCAGAGAATCTTGTAACTGACCGCAGAAGTTACAAGAAGGAATAGAAGATACAGTTGCTTCATCTGAAAGGAGAATATGAGATTTTAAAAAATCCTTTTTTTGAAGTGATACTTCTTTTGGTGCGTTAACTTTATTTAACTAGATAATGCCTTATAATAAAACTTTTAATGAATGAAATTCCTTTTTTCTATTGTTAGTGCCGTTTTTTCTAAAAACGTATGTATAGAATAAGGTGAATGACAAATTAATAGACTTGTAACGAATAGTACATTCGGCAGTATACCGAATACCGAATATTCGGCGAGGCATATGAATGTAAAATCATTCATGAAAAGAATTCAAATGCTTAGTAAAATTCTTTACTTGTTTAATACAGAAAATGATTAAATTAGGTACCAATGACTACTTAATGAATGATTATAAAAGAAATGAGAAAAATTTTGAGAAAAACCCTTCTAAATTTTGATTACCACAATAATTCAAATACATAGAATCCTCCATTTTTCCGATTCAGAAGATGATTATGTACCTGTGTTATTTACCAATGACTACTTAAATGATTAAAACAGAAATGAAAATATGAATATATACGAATAATCGGTATTCGGCCGAATAAAATAAAAGCAGCCGAATAGGCCGAATACCGAATAGTAACCGAATATTCGTTGCAAGTCTGTTAATTAATTAAGAGTAATTAGTCGACTTCAGAGAAAACCGAAGAGCTGGCAGCTACCTCGGACAAAGAATTAGTCTAGCTATTCAAAGGGGGAACGCTGCCAGTATCTTCGGAACCTAGCCTTAAGGGACTCCTTTTAATAGTATATTTTAGTTATTATATTTTAAGTTTACTTATAGTATACATATACATATAGTACATAGGCGAAAGATAAAAATTTTGAAAGGATTTTTATCTTGTTACGACAAATAATTATCACTTCTAACGCGTGTACATAAGTACACACATTTTTTTATTTTAATTTTAACCCCATCTCCGGTTATCGAAGTCACAGAGTAATAATACTTGTAAGAAGGTTTTAAGAGCGCCCTTCCCCGTCCGACGAACGGCAACGCGAGCATGGCCAAAAAGCTTGTTGTTTCATCCAGTGCAATGTCAGAACAAGAGGTAAAGCGAAAAGAGATAGCATAGATAGATAGCGAGCCATTCATAAAAATGGCTAACAAGCAAGTGAGAACGCGATAACATTGAAAGAAAAATAGTGTGCGGAAATTTCATAAAACTTGTTCCAAGAAATACTTGTTTTTTCGTAAGCCTTACAAGATTATGAAAAAAAACTTGTTCATTTAGAAATTCCATTATATTTGCAAGGTTTCTATGCAAATATTTATTTCCGGCTACAATTAATGAGTACATTATAAACGCCCAAACTTCATATAAAATTTGTGCATAAAAGCAGATTTTTGGAGGTTTGTACTGAATTTGTTTCTTAAAATTTTGATTTCGCGTTTTAATAGAAACCTAGACATAGTGCACAAGATGCCTATTAGTTCAAAAGTTTCAAAGAAATATCTGTTACAACGCCATTATCACGTACGAGCGTTTGTATGAAAAGATAGACGGGTTGGCCGCTCAGGTTCTTCTATCATCTATTTACAATGCGCAGAGGCGCTGAGAACTTGGAAAAACTGACTGTGATCCCCACATCTAGCATCCTATACCAAAGCCCGTCCCATCCAAGGGACCAACGACATCCCATCAGGCCGCTTGCCATCGTCTCTGGTGATGCCTGTTTCCTCCAAAATGGCTGGAACATTGACAGAGGCAGAACGGCGTGTGATGTCGTTGATATATTATATTCTAAGTAAGAGAAAACCTAGAGAAATTATTTATTACGTTCCTCAAGTATTGGTGCAGTGTTAGAGGTTACTACAATTTCTGCGAGTCGGTCATGAAAGTCAAAGAAGAAGCGTAAAGAAACCGCAGGCCCGTCAAATCCTCGCCACCTAAAGAGTGCCCAAGCGGGGAAGCAGGGGTCCATGCTTTCAAAAGAAGGGATGGTGATCCATCCCTGCAAGCACTGGACCCGATCTCCCCTAGCTATTCCTAAAAGCGTATGGCCCGATCTGTGAAGGATACTTGCTGTGTCAAGTATCTTCTCAAATAAACAATGGGCGGGGAGAGGCGGACACAACCGCCGCATCGCATGTCGGGAAGCGGATAAGGCTCTGCTGTTCGCATCCCGTCTAAGGCGATTGTTGGTGGCGCCTTGGGGTTTTACTGGGTATGCACAATCGCGAGTCCCACATAACTCTCCTGCACTAAGCAAACCCACCGCAGTAGGGTATGCGCAATGCATTTCCCCAAATAAAAAAAAGTGTTTGACGTTATCGCTAACATACATACGAGGACGTTGTAGTACGCACAACCACTCAAAGTAGGTACTCAAACACTTGAGATACGATGTATTGTATCTTGTCGAGGAGAAGTGGAAATGGAAAGATTTTCACACAAAACAACAGAAGCTGTTGAAGTTATTAGAACCAATGAGAGACTACCATTCAAATTATATTTTATATAATGTATATGTATGTAAGAAGTATAACTTCTAAAGCGTATTCATACACGTTTTCTTCTTGGCGTAAAATTATAAAATTCATTTAGGATCTCCGCTATTAAGTTGTGGAATAGGCTGCCTGACTCCGTACGATTGGCTACCTCTCTGTCATCTTTTAAAACTCTTCTGTATAAACATTTCTTAACCTTATCCTATCCTGATCAATCGTGACTTGTGTAATTCTTGTTTCCTTTTCTTTTGCATTGCATCACTATTCGCTGTTCATGAATCTGTAAGATTAGCTTTTAAGTTTTTAGTTTGTTATTAATTTTTTTTTGTATGACTTTAGATTAAAGTTCTATATATACCTATATATTTTTTTATTCTTTTTATAATATAACATTTGGTTCTGCACTTCTCGCACTCATCATGTATATTTTTTTTTAGTTTTTCTCTTTAACTAGGGTTGCCTGGAAGAGATCGCTTTATAGCGATAAGGCCCCGCCCGTTGCACCCCTTATATTTTTTATGTATCGTGTTATTTGTGTTTCTTTTATTTTTATTGCAACGAAGTGTAAATAAATAAATAAATTAAAAATCTTTCAAAAAAAAATATTCCACGTTTGTAGAAAAAACGACACTAACAATAGAATGTTGACTATAGCTAACTTCAGGGTTTTTTGTGACGGGCGCGCGCGGTTCGTAAAAATTTACTCAGTACATTTTTCCCTAACGCGCCAAAAGAAATATAACTTCAAAAAGTTTATAATACTGTGGTGGAAGCACACCACATAGTGTTTCTGTCAACCAAAACAAATTTACCACGGATAATATGTTAACGCAACACAACAAACTTCAAATTGTGGTCACTACCAAGTTTATACAAAAAGTTGTTAACAGAAATAAATAATACTATGAAATGTTCCTTTGTAATTCAATTTTACAACCACCAATTGACACAAGATGGCGGATAATGATCAGCTGTTTTATTATTATTTACTAAAATCAGATGATATTGCTTATTTTTAAATTTACGTTATAAATATTTAATGGATTGTGTCTGTCTAAGACGATAATTTACTATTATTTATTTATTTTAGGGCATTTGGGCGATAGCTTTTTCAGCTGTGAAGTGTTTTATTTACTAATAAAACTTCACTGAACTGGCAACTTTAATAACGAGCATTAAGTGACATCAGACATGAATATGAAGCAAAGTTAATTCGCGCCATATTTCTAGCGGTGACCGTTATTGCGCAGAAGGCGAAAATTGCGTATCCTGGGGGAAGTGGGGTGCGGGGCGGACGAGCGTAACATTCGTAGCGCTGATTGGCTCGCCAGTTGTATTGCTTCCCGCGCTAATACCGCGTTCAGTTAACATCTGTTCTAGTTGCGTTCTTAATTTTCTTGTTATTACTTATAATTGTTTATTATTATTATTTTGTTATTGCATGTTAATTATATATTGTTATTAATTGTTAATTGAGGTTGTGAACGTCTGGAAAAAGAACGTCTGTTATAAGAAGAAACGCAACATGCAACTATGAATGTGTATGGTTCTTATTAAATTTGTCGATTAATTGTTATTAAAAGAGTTTTATTGAGGAAGCTTGACTGAGCAACCCTAAGCTTTATAAAATAATTTTTCAGACTTTCGAAATAATAATCAGATAAAAAACTGTTCGTCATGATGACTTCCTAACCACAGAGTATAAACGCACCATCGTCACCTATCGTGTATTATTATCGTGTATTAGTCGTTAACAATTTTAACAAATCTATAAATATTTGACATAAATACGAATCAACCTATTTTCAATAAAAAGGCCAGCTAATAATCAGATCGACCTTTAATGACAATGACCTCTCAATGAACTAAGACTTTACTGGCCAGTAGTAAATTGCAAAAGCAGTTGGCCTAGTGGCTTCAGCGTGCGACTCTCATCCCTGAGGTCGTAGGTTCGACCCCGGCTGTTCACCAATAGATTTTGTTTCTATATGCGCATTTAACATCCGCTCGAACGGTGAAGTATAACAGCGTGAGGAAACCGACTTGCCTTAGACTTAAAAGTCGAAGTGTGTCAGGCACTGATCATCTACTTGCCTATTAGGTTGACAAATGAATCAAAAATCTGTGGCCCATATTTAAAAAGTTTGTAGCGCCACTGATTTATTTTTCTTTTATTAATTTAAAAATTTTTTTTATCTAATTCGTGCGACTCTCATACCTGTCGAATATACCTGGCTGCGCATAATGTTCTGTGAAGGAAGACATCGTGAGGGAACCAATAATTCGTCAGGCAGGCTGATTACCTCTTGCCTATTAAAATTAGATCAAGGCAACATCAAGATTACGTATCTACTAGTAGGGGAGCGCGGGGCTTGTTGTAACAGGGGTAAATAGTAACAGACCTTTTTCAATAGGAATTTGATTTTTATTCACGTTTTTTTTTACCTAATCTTAAACTTATAACATGCCACGCCACTTTAACACAGCCAGGGTCCCACCAGACGGCGTAGTGAGTGGGTGTGTGCAAACGCTTTATTGT